CAACTCAACGCACAAACACGATGTGAAGCGTGTCTGCGTACGTTGGAAAAGAGATACCGGCGAGCAAACCATAGCGTCGAATGTCCATGCATCAAAATGTCCGTGCACCGAAGTATCCGCACACCGAAAAGTCCCACACCGAAAAGTCTTTGCAGCAAAACGTCCGTACACTGAAATGTCTGTGCACCAAAAAGTCCGCACTGAAATGCCCTACAGCAAAACCCTCTACACCCAAATGTACTAGACCCACTACGGTTGGGATCCTCCGTCACCTCTGCCGGTTTACGAACGTTTATGATGAATCAGAACTGGTCTATGGAGCACCATCCCTGATATACAGAAAACGCCGCTCGTACTTCCCGTTGTCGCCATGAACACGCCTAAACAACAAACGATGCCAAATCAGATATTTATATTAAAATTGATACTTCAGTGACTACTTTTTTGAGCAGAACAAGGCATTTGTGCTCTCACAACAGCAAAGAATCGTCTTCCGAACCAATGCTAAAAAAGAGCCAATGCAACTCGTCGGGAAGAGCAAGTGCCAAGCTCGCTCAAAACAGCTACTCGGTTGGTTCAGCCCCTTGTGTGCCGGCTGGCTTCTGGATAATCTTTTCAAATCCTTGCAGCTTTCACTTCCTCCACCCCAAACTTGTCAAAAAAAAAAAAAAAAAAAAAAAAAAAGGCAGCTGGCAAAAAAAGAAAATAATCGGAAAACGGCGAGGAGGAAACGAGAGGCGTTTTCCTCCTTTCACAGTGGCGAGAAGGAAAGTGAGGGTCGGGTTCCTTCTCTCTGTTTGCGGGCCGGCCTTTAAAATCATTGTTGCCATGTGTCGCAGGCTTCATCCTAAATCCCGAAGCGGTTTTCCGTCCTCTAAAGCCTAAGGAGTCGGGTTTTCAATCGCCCAAATGGCGGTGCCCGCTACAAGATCGGGAAACGGAGTGGCGATAGCTCTTACTGGCTGGCTCTATCCTGCTGTTCCGACATTGAAGAATGGCGACGTGCACGACCAAAAGAGTCGTCGTGGTCGACTTTCCACGCTCGGGGATTATTAATTCTGCTTTCATCGACGGAAACAAGAGCGGGCTGAGACGGTGAACTTCGACGGTGTAGGTTTGAATCGTCATGACCCCGAGCTTGCACCGTGCTTTTGATTTGCACCATATCTGGTTCGCAACTGGATGGGGAGCGTCTATACAACGTCGCAGTTTTGTCGTGGCGCCTATTGGTATCCACTGCGCTACGAGCGTTTGTTTTTGTTGTGTTGGTTTTGTTTCGCCCAAGTGAGCGCCTAGCTGACAGCACTGGGAGTATTTTAAATTCCGCGCCGGTGTTTTGGTGGCGCGGTACGTGTAATGCTTCTCGCTTTACGTCCACATGTATCGCAAATGTGGCTGAGAGTGTGTCTGTGATGTCGCCGGAAGAGGGAGAAGCATTTTTGCCACCCTCGCATGCGCTCTAACGGTGAAACGAGCGAGTGGATCCACTCAAAAGCGCAACCACGAGTCAAGATTCGTTCTCCGTCGACAGCAGTGTGTTTTTGGCAATTCGCGAAGTTGTGTTTCGCTCCGTTCTCTACAACTGCGATGCGATCGTACGACGAAGAGCCGGGACGTTCACGCTCTGTGGTGTGGCACCGGGAGACAGAAACCCGCGTCGAAATGCATGTAGTGCGCCTTGGTTGGTGAGGTTTCAGCCGTTCATTCCCATCGTCTTCAGCTGACGGTTCCTCGACTGCGATGACCTGTTTAAAGTAAATCGCTCCCCTTTCATTCGATTCGGAATATGGAAGATCGCCGACGTCTAATGGGAGTAGAAATCACGGTGTAAGGACTCCTGCCCATTTTATGCCGCCGCTTTTTTTTAATTTCATTAGATAAACGCTTGGGTATGCAGATTATTTTCCTGAAAGATGGAAACACCGCATTTGGCCACTATGTTTGTTTTGTTTGTTTATTTGTGTCGCAGTGACCGCTGTTTTCAATAAAGGGCCCTCGCAGCTATTTATGTTGTTTTTTTTACGCGTCGGTACTTGGTTGTGATGAAACTCTTAGTGGAATTTTAGAAGTGTTGTACGATTCTGTATGATTTGAGTAGAAATATGCCGCATTCATTTTGTTATCTCCAACCTTAGCATTCTTGACCCCTCACTGGCACTGCCCCAACAATCAAGTTGCATATCTTGTCGATATAATACACCATCCACGAAGGTTGAAGTCAAGCGTCGTCTCCATGTTTTTTAATTCTTTCACCCCGGCTGGAATGAAGAAACGTTGGATGCTTTCAGATAATTATGGCACTTGCTGCGTTCTAATGCCTCCTTTATATCCGTCATTCGGTTTGCTTTTCTTTGATCTTGGGTCTTTAGTGTGGACCCCTAAAGCGTCACCTTTGAGTGAAAGTATGTAGACATGGAGGTGGTTAGATCATGAATTTTGTCTAAACAATTGCTGCAGACACACCAAGCCAAAACGAGTATGGAAGCAAGCAGACTGAGAACAGACATTGTAACCCGAGGCTGTGGGGAGGGACAGCAAACACAAATATTTGAGCAGTCTTCTTCCTGTTAATATGTTCGTGCTGGCTCCCCACTCTCCATGCCATACAATGTCAGTCCATGAGATGAATAATAAGACGCGTAATAATTTCACGTTAATTCATCCAGTGGCTTTGCATCATGTTACTGTCACAATACCTTTGATAGCCAGTAATTGCAGAGAAGACATCTCTGATGGCAAGCTTCGGAATTAGTAAAAAAACAAGGCTCCGGGAGTCACTGGCAGCGGCAGCGGTGGCGGCGCACAGACCTACCGTGTGACCAGTGGTGGCTCCCGCGCGCGCCAACGACAAATTAGTTTCGCGCCTTATTAGTAGTTTGCGCAAATCCCACTTAGAACGGATCCCTGACGTTAATGACCCGTAAAACACGCGTTCGTTTTTCACCCCACGCAATCGAAGTCCCAGAAAAAAATTAAAGAAAAACGAGCAGCGTTCACCCCCTCAACTCGCAGCCGCAACAAGCGGCCACGTGATCTGAAGCCGACTATGTTGGCAAGGCACAGGACACGCGCTGAGTTCCAGACATTGTTATGGATCGGCTATTGTCATTGCAGCGATTGGACACGGGCCACCAGTGATTTCCCTCCCCCCCCCCCCCTCCCCCCTGTTTTTCTGAAGGCGTCCCGTTTCTCTAATTCGCAGCGACTCCTCTATTCTCAATGTACCCCCCCCCCCCCCCCCCCCCCTAATTTCAATTCCTGGGGAGACCCCTGCGGGCCGCTACCCGAATGCTCCTAAGCTGTCGATTATCACGAGCCCAAATCGAGCGCCCACGCAATGCTCGGGTTCAATCTATGAGCCGCATACAAAAATCGTCACTGGGCGGTCCCGGTACCGCCCAGTGACGATTTTTGAATGCGGCTCATCAAGTCATCAAGTTTTGCGAATGAGAGATTGAATGAAAACGCTCGCTTTTGTCCTTGAAATGACACCGCGACAAAGGAGTTTCTTGGCCAGTGGCGTTGCGTGCGAATGTCCTTGAGCCCCGCTAGTGCCAGTAGGCTCTTGTGAGGTATGAAAAACGTTCTAATTGAATATCATTGCACCTCCCCTTTAGATAGAGCTCTAAATTTTTGTTTTCGTTGTAGATTCATTGTGTGGCATCCTTTTGCCGTCCAAACTGTTAAAACATATTTTTTTCTTTTTATATGTCTCTTAAAGGGAAGCTCATTCGGTTTTGTATTTGTAGAAAAACACACCTGAATCGTCTTTATTTGACCTTCAAAATCCCATGCGGTTTTGTATTTGTGGAAACACACCTGAATCGTCTTTATTTGACCTTCAAAATCTCGAATATCGAAATTACGTTCTTAATTTGTTGGATGTATACTGCAGAAAATAGTTTTCAAGGTACCGCCGAAGGCCCTCCTTCCCAGATCGCCACAGAAGGAGTTTTCGGAATCCCCTCTGTCGCGCGTCTTCAGCGCCTATCAAAGCAATGTACTCTTGCTATTTATTGAAAGTCAAGAAAAAGACGTCACGTCTGGTACCAGCAAGCGCTTGGCGGCCAAAAGACCGTCTATGACATAACGAGTGGTCGTAGGTTTTTCATGTTTTCTCGCATTTATAGTTATATTTTCGGGGAAAACGATCGTGATATTCAGATTCACATGGAGAAAACTACGCCAGAATCAACCTCTATTTATCTAATTAAAACAAAAGTGTTTCAGCATGTTTTGTTGAACGCTGCTTGCATGCACAAGTGCCTTTCCTATGGCACTTCTCTTTTCCTTCATATCCATAATAATACAGTGCCCGGCAGAACCCACATCTTCAGGGAAACTGGAATCCTTGATCTCGCTCTTGTAACTTCTGCGACGCTCGCAGTTTTTTTTTTTTTTTTTTTTCTTGCTTTTATTTGTTTGTTTTTTTCGACGAATAACGCTTCTTCGAGCATGCATGTCTCGCCGGCGACGTTCGTCCCTTCGCGAGTGTTGGCGGCTTGTTACGTTCTTGCTGGGAAACCTTGGCGTCGGACCGAGTCAAGCGTGAACTTGTCCCACTCGGGCCGTTTCACGCTACTTTCATGAGCCGGTGCATTGTTCGCCGGGGACACAAAGACCTCTGCATATGCGGGCACCTCTGATGTCTGCGACCTTGAAATTGAGTTTGCCGTAAACACGAGGCCAAATTAAATTTACGTCGCTTTTTGTTGTTGGGGCGCTGTTGCGTGGGACCCCCGCCGCTGCTTATCCTTGGAGGCTTAAAGGGATACTGAACTGTGAAATCGGGTCGACGTTTTTGGTCTTAATCGCAAGAATGGCACGTCATTTAATTTTTACTGGCGCTGGTAAAGCGAAAATACCACGTAAATTTTAATAAACCGGAAAATAAGCATTTTAAGGTGCCCCTGGTGAGCGTCTCCGGAACCTCGCTTCGTGACGTCAAAGACCTCAGAGACCTCGCGCAGCTGCCTCAGGAGACGCGAAAAATCACAACTTTGTTGGTCTGCTGTCACCTGTGACCTGCCGCGTTTACCTCGAGCTCGGTGGCGTGGTCGCGTGGTTATGGCGACACGTGCGTGCGCCAAGAGCGGCAGCAGCAGCAGCAGTAGCTGCAGCGGGAGCGACGCAGTACCGTCGGATGAGGAGCGCGAGCACCTGCCAGCGAAGAGGCGTAAGGTGCTGCCTTACGCCTGCGACCCGTCCGCGACGTCGGACAGTAATGAAACTTCAACGGAGCCAGCAGCGGAGTCCTCGCCAGACGCTCTGCCGCGAAGTGACAGGCGGCGGCTACTCAACACACGCTGGTAAGAACACGCGCACATGGCGCAGCGTATGTCTTGCATAGGCCCGGGAGAGCGATTGTTTTGGGGTTGCGCGAAGTTGACTTGCAGCCTCGAAGAACCGATTGTTTTGGGGTTGCGCGAAGTTGACTTGTAGCCTCGAAGAACCGATGATAAATGGGGTTTTATATATTATGTTATCAGGTGTACTAGTGACTGACATGCTCTTGGTATCGCCGAGCGGCGGCGAGTAAGCTCCAACCTGAACTTATCGGCTCCATCGTTTGGGCTACAGAAAGATGCGCCTCCTTTTGCTAGAAACTGTCAGTGCTAAGGCAGGGGCTACCTGTGCACCTGTCCCGCGAAGGCGCGTTAGAAATTGAAGATGCATCAGCTGCGTGCGGGCTTGAACCTGCACGTAGTGCCGATACACCGTCGAAGTACTCACGTGCGCGCTGTACGTTTTTTTTTTTTTTTTTTTTTTTTTTATTTATTTATTATGCACGTGTTTGCGCAATGCTGGGCCCCAGGTTGGGCACTCAGGCCTTTGTGGCATGGGCAGCACTGCTTTTTTGCGGCCCTCTATGCCTGGGTCAAAGATTCCGGAATATGAATAAAGTATTACTATATTATTATACGCAAAAATGTAGCTGCTGTATAGTGACTGCATCGTGGTTGTGGATACTCCCAAAAGGCATCTGAGGCTTGAGCAGTGTTTGGGTGACACAATTGGATTGAGAAAAGAGGCAAAGTGTGTAGCCACACCAGTGCCCACACAGCATTACAGAAATGTTGACATATGCACTAATTCATGTTTCTACCTTTGGGAAACAGGTGCTGCTGCGAATCCCGGTGTGGCACCATGTCCACACCAGTGGAAAGTGTGTGCTGCAAGGAGCAGTGCAAGGTCAAAGAGAAGGCTGGGAGCCTTCCCTGCATCACGGCACACAGGCTCTTCGAGCTGTACTGCCTGGACAGGGATATCCTGGACCTAGAGTACAGGAAGCTGAGAGTCTGCCGGCCTCTCAGCACAAGAAACATAAAGGAGATAAATGCGTACGTACAGTGAAACTAAATTACTATACTTTTTTACTATCATGTGCACCGCTTTGTAAATAAAGGGAGGATGCAAAGCGAGATTTGCATTAGATAAACCAGAAAAGGCAGTGCCTCAATGTTGGCAATTGAAGTTTCCGACACAGGCAGGTTTTTATTGGTGGCCTGAAAAACATACCCAAAATTTAGAAGCAAACCATTCATTACATGCTTGCTCGCTCGAATATGCATGTTTTAATGAAACTACAGCTTGTGGCGTCTTGCTGCTGGCCATCGAACTAAAAACAATGAATGCCTTCTAGTTCCAAGTGGATACCTGGCAGTGTAACTAAATAACTTTATTATGTTATCATTGCAGTAAGTACAGGTACACGGCATACTGCCAATTTGTTTGGTGGATACACGGAAGGCTCGGAAAGGAGAACCGGGTCACCTTGCCCAGCTGCGTGGTGACCAGGGTCCGCAAAGAGTTCCCCGCCCCGAACCCTGCAGACTACACGGGCTTCAAGCAGTCAAAGTGCTGAGTAAGTTTGCATGCTATCTACCTTCAAACCTCCTAATTATGTATCTTTTCCTACCAAGCACTTGGGAGCAACAGCTTGCACGAGCAGTACATAATTAATGTTAGAATGAAGAGATCAATATTTGACATATAAGAAACTCACTGTTTATTGCAAACTAACCAATTTTTTACTTTACAAACAATGTGTAACAACGATCACAGACTGGAGACGAGGAAATGGGCCAGAGACGTTTTGAAAAGGAGCTCATGGCAAGGAGCTAGTGGCCTGGGAGCGCATGGCCCAGGGCTTGTGCTCGGAACACATGAGATTGACACGTCAGATCGAACTGCTTTGTTGCTTGTGCATAGTGTAAATAAATGTTTGCATCAACGTAACCAACAATGACCACCAGAAGTTCATGCATTTTGTGCGGAAACCCGCTACGTAACGATTCGACGAAGGGAATCTGGTAGACCAAAGCAATACCTATCGAACGACAGAAGCAACGTTCCATCGAGACAAGACTGAAAGATCATGGACATCCTCAAGAAGAAACGGAAGACTCTGAAACACAAGTAACTAAACTCCTCAGCGAGGCAAAAGAATTATTTCAGCTGACTCCAGCAGTCATCGATGACCTAGAGATTTTGATTGAGTGCATAAGCCTCTCTCGGGATCAACTCGGCCACGTAGATGCCGCGATCGAGCCTTTGATTACCGAAAGAGACGTGAAAATGGAGTTCACGCCAATCATAGATTATACTGACAAGATTGTCACATGCCTCACGAAGCTCAGAAAGAAGGCGAAGGGCGTGGAGAACAGCCAACGAGCAAGTGGTCCCTCGAACGATTGGAGAGCAACAGCCGTAGAAAGTCAAGCTTCCAAAATTAGAATTTATCAAGTTCAACGGCAACCGGAAGAATTGGCAAGCATTCTGGGAGTGAAACCACAATCCACGAGAATCCGGAACTGACTCCATCGAAAAAGTTCAATTACCTGAGATCAGCGCTTACCGGAGATGGATCAGCTGCCATCCGAAACTACAGCCAACCGCTCAATGCTATGCGGACGCGATCGACCTTCAACAGCAGCGGTTCGGCAAGCAAGAGACTCTGGTACACAACCACATGGAAAGTCTGATGGACATCCAGAAGGTACCACTACAGGGCAATGCCCGAACCCTGCGTCGTTTGTACGACAGTCTTCAGGCGCACATCTGGGGACTTGGAGCACTGGGTGTGGGCGAGGAATCCTACTGCGCCATGCTCTACTCGCTCCTACTGCGAGCACTACCGAAGGACATGTCCCTGGATTACAACCGGAAGATGTCGTTGGAGGACACCAAGAACGCCACCGCAGTGACGGGCACCAGTCCCGAGTCTCCAACAGAGAATGTTCATCTAAGAGCTCTACAGACTCTACTCAAATTTATTCGAGTTGAAGTCGAGAGCTGGGAAAGGACGTCAGAGGAACAAGAGGACGACTTTGGCGGTAAGCCTGCAATTCGTTTCCCTAAACAAGAACTGCCGAAGAAACTTTCAAACTACACAAACCTTCGAAACTCTACCGCAGCGGCCTTGTATGGCAAGACTGAAGGCTTAGAGTGTTAGTTCTGCAAATCCGAAGAACACGCCACACCTGACTGCAACGCCAATATTGAGCTCACTGAGAAAAAAAAAACAAAGATTACAGGCTGGCAACAGATGCTTTCGTTGCACAAAAGCAAACCACACGGCGAGAATGTGCCGAAGCACGCCGTGTTGCACCAGGTGTCAAGGATGGCATGCGCCTACTATGTGTGACCCGGATTACGTACTGGAACGACTTTTCGCGGTGAATAAAACAGAAAGCGAAGATAAAACACCGGTCAGTCTTCAGATCAATGAAAAGAACTGCAAGCCAGCAGTGTTCTTGCAGACGGTGACCGCATGGGCCGAGAACAAAAACAAAAGAAGACTATCCCGAATTCTTTTTGACAGCAGCAGTCAACGTTCCTTCATTACGGAGGAGCTGTCCCAGAGACTCGGTTGCAAACAACTCGGGATGGAGATCCTCACGTTCGGCGTGTTCAGAGGCGAAAGCACCGAACGTATGTTTCGCAGGGTGCAGCTTACTTTGCGGGACCAACGGTACTACGAAAAATATGAAATCGACATGCTAGAAACACCTACCATCTGCGAACAAAATCTCCCGAGCCCAGATTAATCCATCGTCGCGACATTAAAGGAGCTCGGTTGCTTAGTAGGAGATGCCATGACCGGACTGGAACATCGGGGCATCGATATCCTGCTTGGCCCGGATCACTACTGGGAGTACATCATTGGAAAGATTCACCGACAGAGGAAGCTTGACTGCAGTGCAGCCCGTATTCGGATGGGCGGTTCAGGGACGAAAAGGGTCAAGCTCCCGGGTTATTAGTTGCTCCAGGGTGGTCATGCGGAGAACGGCGGTCCAAGAGCCCGAACCCATGCCAAGCCTCAAGCAATTCTGGGAACTTCAGAGGATGGGTGTCATCGACGCATCGGTGGACGATCCTTCGGACAACGATGTCATGCGAGACTCCGAAACTATGATCGCCAAGACCAATGGGAGGTGCGAAGTCGGCCTTCCATAGAGGGCAGACATCAGGTTGGCAAATGACAAGGTTGCTGGAATGCCACAGAAGAACTGCAATGTGTGACATGGCACCACCTGCCGGGAAAGGAGAACCCCGCCGACCTCATGTCACGAGGTCTGACCACCTTGGATTGGTCTCCACTCCACTCTGTTGTTCGGGGACCAGTTGGTTGCCGCTGCCAGCTAAAGAATGGCCCAAGGAGAAGCGCGAGGAGCCACCTCGATATAAGCTCGAGGAGAGGGGACCGAGAGCTGACATATTGGACATTTCAACACCATCTGCAACGTTGCTTGATGTCACCGCATTCAGCTCAGCTTCAAAACTCAACAGAACAAGAGTGTGGATGTTTCGATTCCTTCACAACGTTAGGTCAACGGGAAAACAATCGGGGCCTCTGACTGCAGAGGAAATCCAAGGAGCGCGGACATATTGGCTAAAAGCTAATATCGGCGTTTGCCGCCAAGCTTCGACGTGCGACCAGCAGAACCGAGACCCCATCCACTTCTCTTCGAGACTTCAGTAGTTTCATCAACCAAGAGGTAGTGCTTCGCATAAGAGGGCGACTCCGATCGAACAACATGACATACGATGAACGAAACCCTATCGTACTACTGAAAGAGCATCGATATTCCACGGTACTTGTGATCGACGCTCACAGGATGGTGTTACACGCAGGAGTAAGACACACTCCAGTCCAGCTCCGCGAGAGGTATTGGATCCTTCGGGGTATGAGAGCTGGTGAAGAAGATGCTGCGCTGTGTGTAACGTGCCAGCGATTTAGTGCTATTCCGGCGAGTGCTCCAGCGGGACCTCTGCTGCGTACGAGAACGATGCAGGCTGAACCTTTCGAGGTAGTTGGTGTAGATTTTGCAGGACTGCTGTACATACAGGCAAAGGACGTCGTACATCACGCTGTTCACTTGTCCAGTGGCGCGGGTGGTCCACTTGGAGCTCGTACCAGACGTTTCAACGAGAAGTTTTCTTGTAGCTGCCCGTAAGTTTGTGTCATGGAGGGGACTTTGCCGCATCATCTACTCAAACAATGCGCTAACCTTCAAGCGAGCCTCCAGAGACCTGGCAGAACTTCGGAAGATCCTACGACACTCAGAAGTGGTGAATCACTTCGCCAATGCAACCATCGAGGGGAGTTTTATTGTTGAGCGTGCTCCTTGGTGGGGAGGATTCTACGAGCGACTGGTTTGATACGTGAAGGTGGGACTAAGAAAAGTGATCAGGAGAAAAACTATGAACGCAGCAGAAGAGTTGTCCACAGTCCTATGCGAAATTGAGGCGATGCTAAATTCTTGTCCCCCAACATTCGTTTACAATGAGCTTGACGAAGGCCAGCCGCTCACACCGACTAGCTTTTTCAGGGGAGGACGACTGACAGCACTTCCAGTGGCTGAAAGAGAAGACTTTGCGTCGTCTCCAGAGATGCTCCGAGAAATATGGAAACAAAGGAAAGCATTCTTTAACAGGCTCTGAGTAACGGGAGGTCAGACTACCCGAGAGAACTTCGATCTGCCCTTGAAACAAAAGGCCAGCAATCGCCACGTCTGGAGGTGGGCGGGCTCGTCCTTCTGAAGGAACAGCTCCCACGTTTACTCCGGAAGATAGGAAGAGTTGAAAAGGTTTTCTGTGGGCGAGACGGCAGGATTTTTGCATGTATAGTGCGCCCGGCCAGGGGCAGTCTTCTGAAAAGACCAACTTCTCTATCCGCTAGAGATAACAAATTTAAAATGGGGTAACACCCATTCGGTGGGGAGTCTGTACCAACAATCGGAGACCTAAGACGAGAAAATGGGCCACAGACGTTTTGAAATGGCGGCCGGGGGCTCGTGCTCGGAACAGATGCGATTGACACGTCAGATCGAACTGCTTTGCTGCTTGTGCATAGTGTAAATAAATGTTTCAAGTTCCTGCACAATGTACTGTCAGGGAAAAATGATATGCAAACAGAGGAGCGCGTGGCTTGCGGTACAGGTTGCGCTGCCTGGAAGTGAGCCTAGGGGCGAAGGTGCGTGGCCTACTCCGATATGTTTATGCTCTCCGCTTGGCGCTCCCTAAGCTTCATCAGTGCGTCTCTTAGGGCACTGAAAGCTACCACCTCTATCTTTGCTCGCTCCGAGAGAGTGCGCGCTTTAGCTGCTACAAGCAGCAAGCTTCCTTGTGCCGCATGCGCCGAGTGAGCAAAGATAGTGGTGATAGCTTTCAGTGCACTAAGAGGCGCACTGCTGAAGCTTGGGGAGTGCCGAGCGAAGGGCGTAAACTCATCGGGTAGGCCATGCACCCTCGCCCCTAGGCTCGCTTCCAGGCGGCGCAGCTTGTACCGCAAGCCACGCGTTCTTCTGTTCGCATTTGATTTTTCCCCGACAGTACATGTTCCTTCAGCTTCAGCTTAGCAGTTGAACCGGGAACGGTGGTTAGAGATGAGCAGGTCCTTGTTGGGGCGTTCATATCCACTGGACAGAGTTGGGGGAGCCTCGACACAGTTGGCCTTTCGTGCAGCTCGGTACGACGGGTAGTGGCAATTGAGGGCGAGGGTTTCCTTCATGAGCTCTTGTACATAGGCTGAAATTAAGACTAGATGTTAGAAGCTGGTAGTTGTACTCGTTTTGACATCTTACCGTATGTGCAGGGCCCTTTCATGGGAGATGCAATTGGCCTCTTTGTTTGTTTAGGCCGCTTGACCAGGAACCTTTTTTTGCCTTCCTTAGTTGTCGCCTGTGGCCTGTCGCTGTTTTCGTTGAAATGCAGCGCTGCCACAAAGACTCTGAAAAGTTAAGACTTTAGCGGGCACATGCAAACAATTGGTTAGCTTGCATACCTTGCCTGCATGCTCTCGTAACCGAAGTGTGTCGACTTCGGTGCGAACTGGTTCACAGTGCTGTGAAAGCACTCAGTTGCGTAGGTTTGCGCTGAGGTTGAGAGCTGCGGGATGTCCTTCAGCAGTGGCTTTGACAGCACGATGCTCTTTAGCTTGTCGTGTGCCTGAAGTCCTGGATAAAGTAGGACACTTGTATTACAGACTGTGTGGTTTCAAATCTGCTATTACAACAATAACACTAAGGCTCATAAGAAAAAGTAGTAGTTTTGTGTAATTAAATTAAAAATATATGATATCCAGAGGTTAATAAAAGGGTTAGAGCTGATGAGAACAGATTAAATTGGGTAAGTTTAATAGGCTGCTACCAGTCCTGCTTACTGCCCGTGTTTATGATGCCTAGATTTTTTTATCGAATAGACCAAGCGATGCCGATTTTAATTTTGCAAAGGCATGATGCACCAAATCGTCATGCTTGGTTGACTCGTGTGCCCGAACATGTAAGCACAGGTCCCAGCGGTCCGTATAAACACCGCGCGGTAACGATGCACGCGGAAGAAAGCTGAAGCTACCACCTATCGGCTCACTCCCCTCTACCAGCAGTCATAGGTTCTTCCCTGGCTGCCACACGGACTAAACAGTATAGAGAGCCAGTAAACTTGCCACATTCATAATCAGACACCTTGAAACTAAGAACCAGTACAACAACTTGGTTGAAATTGTTAAAGAATTCAACCTGAGGCCAATTCAAAAGTTTTATGTGTGAGCAAATTGCGGTTCCACTAGAAAAGGCACACCAGGGCCCGTTTGCTTGAAGCGCTAACTATGGCTACAAGTTGACTGCAGTACCTAGGCGAGGGATTTTGAAATCACGCGACTGGCTCGGTAGAGATGCGGGGAAACATGGCAGTGCCCCGGTGAGTTAGCGCTGCTCGCTTTGGAACTAATATGTCGTTGTAGCTGCAGTATCGGGTGCGTTAATCAGCAACGAATGGTGCAGGAGCCTTCACTTTGCCTTACCTCACTTAAATCGCAAAGCATGAGCAATGACCTTGCCACATTTTTTAGTCTTTCCATTCTGGCCATTTCTAAGCCTAAATGAATGCGATAATTGTCAGCATGGCAACGTCTTTGGAAAACGGATTGCCTTGACTGAATCGGCCGGGTATTCATACCACACAAAAGCAGACAGCGTCGCAGCAGACCTTTTTCTAAATACCCAAGCATTGAGGAGAACGCTGAAAGTGTAATTCTATGGTCCACGAGCGCTGGTCTTCCTCTTATAAACGATTCAAAGTAAATAATCATAAGGCTTTGACAAGCATGCGTGCAAGGCAAAATGTGTTTTGTGGGCAGACCAGCATGTCTGCCCACATCTCATTGCGCAATGTGTGGCACTGCTATCGGCCGGACCTGTTTGTTTGCAAACATGAGTTGGTGTATACTTCACAGCATCACTTGGTATGAAACACTAACATGTCAACACTGTTAATATGCTATGGTCTACTTGCCCTCAGGAAGCCACTTTTTCTTCCCCAGGTCTCCGTGCTGGCACCTTGGATACAGGGGGTCGGCATGTTCGTGCAAGTCAGCCACGTGTCCCACCAGGGAAGTCCACTTAGGAAGGATCTCCTCTGGCGCTCCATCGCTGGATTCCGCACACCAATAGAGGTGCTTGACAGTTGCCTGCACCCAGTCTTGGAGTCCCACAAGGGATTTGAGTTTCCCAGCTGAGACCATGCGTTTCTTGATGCCTGAAAAATGAAGCATTGTATTCATTCTGCTAAGCACCAAGCTTACATTGCCAGAAACAACAGCTTGACAAAATAAAGAGTTCATAATTATGAACACCAAAAACAAGAAAAACCCAATCCTGCCCCATTTTCTCAAGTATAAAAAAAAACATGGCGATACCTCACTCTAGGACACTTTACTTTTTAGACGCTTTCGTCGAGTGTAAAGTTTGTGCCTGCTGTCTTCGATGCTGCGCAAATAGTTACGGGACGGAAGAAACATCAAAACCCAAGCAGTTTGGGCTCCAAGTCGGCATGCGCATGGCCTGGTGAGCGAGATCGTTCCCAACCGCTCTGGGGACGCCACCTCGCCCAACCTTGCCAACCGCGACCGGACCCTGAGGCCGAAAGGCTCTGGCACAGCCAGGAACGGCACCGAGGTTGGAGCTCCTCTTTCTGCCTAGCATGCAGTGCTCAGAGCTATCGGCGTCTGTCCTTGCACTGAAGGCTCTAGGGACTCCTTCGGACACGAAGGTCCTATTTCGCGAGGCCTGGACAAGGGCCGCTTTACCGAGCAGATTTGCTATATGTCGCTCACATAGTTTGACAATAAAAGCTTGCGGTTCTTCTCTGAAGAAAATATTGCGGGCGACCACACGGACTGCTCTCCGCCGCCGCCGAGGGTGGCTGCCGCCATGTTCTCAGCTGTTCGCTTGCTCCCAGAGCGGGTGCCTTCCCATAATCCTCCCCGATCCAAATTGCGATGCAACCTCCATTTACATGTTTTGAATAAATGTGCATTCGCCATCTCAATCCACCTCTGTCTAGCGACTTGAATGCGATGCGCTCTCCTACTGTATTGTTTGTTTACATCACCGCATTGAATGCGACAACTGGATTCGATGCGACTAAGCTGCATTCATGTAAACACGGCTTATGTTTCAGCTTATATTGTACTGCAGCGAAAACTAGAAGCGCAAGCTCATGGCCTTGGCAGCTGCTCCTGCTGCACGAGAGCTTGTGCCGCCGAGCAGTTGCCATACAGCAAGGAGCTCCCGCTTGTAGCCTTTCCTGCAGTACAACATATGCAGAAACAAAGTATAGTGACAGGCAAGGGTAGGAGTGTTCTGCAATTAAATGTTTTTTTTGTTTTTGCATAACCTGGAACCCCGATTACTTATGGCTCACCTTTTGCAACGTGCCAGCAGTCGAACATGTGCCGAATCTGGGGGTACCACTTGGCAAGGAATGACTTGATCATGGAGTGGCGATCAGTGATGATTCCTCCCACAGTCAATCCATTGGCTTCACAAATCAGTAGAGTCCTTTTCAGGCCCTCGAGCTCCATTGCCCAGCTGCCCTTCGTTTCGTTGGACTGAAGTGACAAATAAAACATTGCATTATCACACCGAACATGAAGTATCCAGAACGAAGTCAACTAGAGCTGTTGAATGAGACAACCCATGTCTGAAACAAGTTGTTTTCGCCATTCATTTTCAATTAATTACAGAAAGGTTTCATTCCAGAAGAACAGAAGCATCAGAACATTTATAGCAGGGGAAATTTACCTGCACTGTTTCCACATGGAGAACCTTCTTCGTTGACACGTCGACGACGGTGTATGTTCCATATTTTGCTGAGTGCCCGGGGGAGTCTGACCGCCCATCACCAGCGAGGACCAGTTCTCGTCCACTTGCTTGCTCGAAGAGCTCGTTTTGTTTCCTGTTCCACACCTGGAAGTTTATTTGCAAAGACTTTTGTAAACAAACATAAATCCTGAACATGCTTTTCATTTCACCTATAAGTATACTGCAAGCTTCTTTTCTTTATGTGAACGTCCATGGAAGTTCAGCATTTAAGTTTGAATCCCAGTAAATGCGATCAAAGCATTGACAAATTGTAATTCGTCTTTCTTTCTTTTCAAAATGAGGGGATGAAATGCTCCGAGTCGTGAGTATAAATATTGAAGGCACATATGCACTACTAGGTAGATTGGCAAAACACTTTTTTACTTTCTATTATCTATGCAAGGGCTAGTTGATGAATAGCTTTTGACATTTTCCGTATTGAAACTCAAGAAGCATAGTTTTGCACTTATGTAGGTCGCATACACCCCTGCCTGTTCAGGTCTTGTTCCCCTCGTAGCAATCAACAAGGACAGTTTGGCTGCCGAGGAGCCGCCTTCTCAAGAGCGGGCTCTTTTTTTTAACCTTGAAGAAATGCCACCCCGTATAAAAAATAGAGTACTCGCCGATTAATCTTTACGATCGGCCTGGGAAACATTTATTTTTGATTCTTTTACTTATTCCCCAAATCAAAATCTGCCCTTTACACTGTACACTTATCCAGTAGGTGCAATCAGTCACGAAGCAGGAGAATAAGAATTAATTAAAAACGTTGCCTCCACGTTTAGAAACACATAGGGCGACCATTCACCCACATGGAATGCGGCGAGTCTTCGAGCTTGAAGTATGTGCCATGAACCCTGTATATACTTGCTTTGCCCACACAGTTGGTACCTTTCCACCCCAGGAGTGTGGTAAAAATAGGTGCAGAGGAACAGAGGACATCTCAGCTCTCCCTATTTACAATATTTTCCAGCACATAAGTTGTTTCTTTCCTCAAATTCCTGTCACTGCATCTTACACAGAGGTGCGACTTACACCGCTTTTTTTGCAAGTATAAGCCATAGCTGTGCAAGGCCGTATCAAAGTTACAACAAAGGAGAATCGGCAGAGCCTGTAGTTTGTATGGCATCGCACAGACCTAGATCCATTAGATGTAGCCTCGGGTGCTGCAGTGTATTGAATCGTACAGACCTAGATCCATTAGATGTGGCCTTCGGGTCGGCGGATCAGCTTTTCCTTACAATTGGAACCTTGGCAATATGCCGGCTTCCAGCAGAGCTTACAGCCGGCCATATCAGAACAAATTTCCCACGGTAGTTCGCAAGAACATTGAAGCTGGCTCTTACTTGTGCTTATATTACAATATACATATGACAGCTTATCAATGCAGTTTTGCCTTGCGGCCCGTATAAAGATGTGCCACCTATAGACGTTTGCAAGTACGGCCTCGGGGCGCCGCCACCTTGCCCAGTTGGAGTGCACTTGGGCGCATTAAATTCGATTACGATGCCTCACTAAGGTATCGTAATCAGACTATGGCCGCGCCCAAGCACAACCCAACTCGGCAAGATGGAGGCACCCTGAAGACGCACTTGCAAACATGTATATATCAAGCTTTCTGTAAAAACAGCCGTTTATAGGAGTGTGTGACTTGTAGACAGAAACATATGGTGCTTCCTACGCATGTACTACACCATTCAGGATCCCATAGGAGTGCTGAGCCTGAAATATTGGCACCTAAAATAAACCTCTCACAGGAAAGGAAAGGCTTGAAAACGTGCCATACCTGTCTGATCGCTGGTAGAAGGAAGGCACCCTGAATCTTAAAGTATGTCTCGTACGATAAACAGGGCACGCCCATCTGGTGGAGGAGCCTCAGCACTTTTTTGACGATGCTCCCAGAGAAGAGCGTTGCTGCAGCTAGGAGCACATCGCCCAGGGCCCTCCTATTCACTGATGGTTGGCTGGTCCAGGTGTGTTGGTGGCCATTGTTGCACATTCTGTGCACCCGGAGACATGTCCCTCTGATCTTCTTCTCTGTGATGCGGCACAGTGCAGTGCACTCGGGACAATTACCTAGTAGCTCGTCCAAACAAGACTCGAAAACAATAAACTTTCGTTCCGAGACGTAGTCGATGCTTTTGCTGCTCTCATGCTGACTGGGTGCGCTGTCAGATGCAGTGTTCTGCTGTGCATCCCTGGAATAAAAAAAGAAAAGAAAAAAGCAACCTCTTACACACCCTCTCATACTCGTCACTAAAGATGACATATATCCGACTGATACCAACCTCAGAAAGCCGGTGTCGGACATCATCATGAGGAAGCTAGCGTCGGAGGGGAGGTATAGGCTGTCTGCTTCCACGTGTGGCTCTGGCAGCTCCGTGGGACACTCTTCAACAGACTCTTCCTGGCCTGCACTGGGCAGCTCATTGTTTATTGTTGGCAGCTGTGGTGGGTCCGGTGGTGGAGCTGGTTGTCTGCGCACTGGCGGCTGCGGCGACAGAGTCAGCCCTTCAGGCAACATCCAATCTAATGGAGCCTGGGGGACATGATTTGGTGAGGAGCATCGTGGTGTCACGAGGACAGGATTCGTTTGGGACTTTCGTGATGAAGTCTTCAAGGTGACTTGTATGCCTGTGCCATCATAACGTGTTACAACGATCTGAACAATGCTGCCTTCTGTGAAATTTCTTCTTGCAGATACATACCTCGATTTCTGTAGATGCCCGAGGTCTGCGTAGCAGCGTTCCGAAGGTCAGGTTGAGCCTGTTTGGCATTACTGATGGAGGGGGCTGTTCACAGCAGAGGAAATAAAGTGTCTTTCAAAACAAAATCATCCTTGGCTCATGTAATCAGCAATAGGCTAGATTACCCTAATTTGGCAGAATTCAGTACTAAAATATGTCAGCCGAGTAGTTTCAATTGGCGCACATACCTGAACTCGAACAAGGTTCTTCGATGCCAGCATTTGCATCATGCATCGGTTCATGTCCAGAGTCAGGACCTTGCTCAGTGTCGTCACCAGAAGGGGTTGACGATGTGCTGACTTCTTCAGCGATGAGTGTGGCCTTTGCTTGTGCCGGTGCCTCCAGCAATTCAGCAATTATCTATAAATGATAGGCATAAAAACTTATAACATGCAAACAAACACACTGTCAATATGCTGCTAACACCCAGGTTCTGCTCAAATGAGGGTGACTGGCCCAAGCCCTTATCTTCGTTAGGCTCATGTCACTCTGTGTACCCTCCTCATCTTGACTTTGCTTGAACTGGTAAGCAAATCACACCGTCAAGTGCACAGTCATGAACACTAAGATGAAACGGTCGAATGACGACCGAGGTTAATTAGTGGCCTTGCCTCGAGTCGAGAAATTGAACAACACTTGTAATAACCTCTTGATTGGGGTGCAATTGTCATAAATGGCCAGCTGGTGTTCTTAGTGAACTTTATAAATAAACACCACATTCCGCGAGATTAAGACAGAGTAACTCAGCAAAAGATTTCGCAGTGTTTATTTTTGTTCTAAATTGCCACGCGTTTAGCAGCATCTATTTTTGGCACTAGAATTGATTTTTGCTGCAATTTAATTCCATACACCACCAGGTTTTTAGGCATTCTCGGCACTTGTCGACGTGAAGCATTACTGCGAGCATGTATTCAATGTATGGGAAGAACATAGACGAAACAAGATATTATAAACCGGCACACTGTTTACAAAAAAGCCTGCATTTGCCCACACCAGGTGTGGGGACTGTGCGAACGCAGAAACCGAATTCACGTGAAGTGAAGCCTCTGCGCCTGCGCAGTGCCGTCAAGAGTGCCACCACAGCTGCGTGACGTCAGGGCCGCGTGTTGGTCTATACCTAAGATATCGTCATAGTAATCAGAAATATAAACAAGGGGTGGAAATATGTACCATAACAAGGTTCTCATTAAAAAAAACTGCAGCGCTCTTTTTCATTTATTTTCCGCAGTTGAGAGAAACTGCCTTCCAGGTTAACACTGAACAGATGAAGCGACAGCAGCTTGACCACCTCATCAGGGAGAGCAGACCAGAGAGGAAAATGAGTTTTCCAAAACAGAATGATGTATACAGGCACACTTTTCTAAATGGCGTGGCACTCATACTGTGAGTACCCTATTCCGAAATTCAACAGCATCTCCTTATGCGCCACAATGAAGAATAGCACATGCTCAAGATGCCGCGGAGTTTGCACATCCTGCTCAAGCTCGGAATATACCCGCTGCAAACCAAAAGGAAGTACGTAGATCATCAATTAACCATTCTCCCAGGAATGGTTCAGCTCGGTCCTATGTGCCATTTTCAGGTAGCCCAAATCAAAATTCGATATTTATTGGTTTATGCCAAATTTCTCAAATTAAAATTAGCTGGCATTTATCAGTAGTAATAAAGATAAATACCAGCCTTCACAACTGAGCCAAAGGTGCCGGCGCAAGCTCGTAGCTTCAAAGCAAGTTTCTAGCAAATGAGCCCGAAAACCGAGTGCCGTCGCCGCAGCTACTATACTCCGTTTCACCTTATGTTGTACCGCAACGAAGGCAAGAATCGCGAGCTCACAGCGTAGGCAGCTGCCTACGCTGTGAGCTCGCAGGAAAGGCTACAAGCTCGAGCTTGTAGCCTTTCCTGCGGTACATCATAAGGTGAAACAGAGTACAGCTGCAGTCTCGCCATGTACACGATACCGACAGTGGAGCACCTGCGATTGGCGGCAACCTTTCGTCCGGCTAAGGGCACGATAGCGAACACGGATATAGTACACACTTACCCTGCGCGACGCTGCTAGCGAAAACGCGATCTCGGCGTTTCTCCGCGCTCGTCCTCAAAGGCGAGTTAGCAGGCTTGCGCTAACAGCGTCGCGCAATGTACTACGCTAATCTCACGACCACTCGTATTCGTGCTTTCCTCTCAGAAACAAGCAGAAAAATATTTTAGTAACTGCGCTCACCTCTTTCCGTCGCCGTTTTTCCACGGCGCCGCTGTGCCGCTCTCGCTTGCGTTTTCGCGTGAAGAGCGATGGCACCACGTCAGGCTTCAAATAGGCCTGTTTTACAGGCAAGCCCAGACTTTGCAGTAACTTCGGGCTCGTCTTGTAGTCCTCGTCTTCGAAGTGCTCCGTGCAAAGACAATCGCCTTTGGCGGGCTTCCATGTTGGCTGGGAAGGACGGGCCGCGCGAATCCACAGCTTCCGCAACGTGGGCTCACTCGGAAACTTGTGCGCAGGCCTGCCGCTGTAACATACGCTGTTCGAGCAGTCTTGTGCAGCGCAGTACCGCGGCATAATTATTGAAGAAACTGGCTCAGAATGAGGAACACTCGGCGCGGTTCTCCATTAGGACTGCAGCGGGACAACCGAGTCTGCCAAGGAGCGAGAGGTCTGTGACGTCAGTTCCGCTAGGGCTCCTCCGCGGTGGCGTCAATCGCACCGGCGGCTTCCGGCCGACGGATTGCTCGAACGCGGCTCTTCAATCAAAGAAATATAATAATCCGATCACCATCCCTTGGTATGGTCTTGATTTTTAGGTATAGTAACGTCCCGGGCAGCTCGTCCGGGGCTTATTTTGAAAAGTTCAGATATCGGTTCAGTATTAAGGCGCGTTCACACTCTTGCAACCGAGTACGACCGAGAAAGACTTTTTGGGACCGGATGCACTGAGCGGAGCTGGTCCTAAGAGATCGCAAGAGGCTTAAAAACCGGTTTGGTCTCTCTCGGTCGCACTCGGTTGCAAGAGTGTGAACGGGCCTTTAAAGTGCATTCTCGGGGAAATTTTAGAGTTGCCTAACTCTCGCACGAACGACTTCCATTGGGCTCCCTTTCAGTCAAAAGCGAAGACTGGAATCGAGGATTACTTGGCGGCAAAAAAGAGCTTATATTTTCTAAAAATGCAACTTTTTAGTAATTCCGGAATATTTACTCCAATTAAAAAAAAATGAAATAATAGACCTTGTTCCAGTATAGGCTCGCTCCCCTGACCGTTGCTTCCCGCTTTTGCCATTTTCGGAGGGTACCGTCTCGCACGACGAATACCTATCACTGCGCAAGTTTAATCATCTTCGACAGTATTTTTTTTTTAAACCGATACAGCAGCGCGGTTCTAATGTGTTCTGACGAGTGGAGGAACATTGGGCTGCCTATCATTCGTGGTTCGTAGACAACTCCCCAGACGGCGATCGTTACGTGAAAATGGTAAAAAAAAATGGCAGAGTTGCGTTTCGGCTTTCTATGTCCCTCCGCGCCACTCTTCGCCGAGATCGATCACGGGAGGAGCAACGAATCCTAGCGCCGTGCAGGAAAGTCGCTTCACCGACGTTGCGAGCACCCCGGCGTGTGTTCCCCTGCTTTTGCCTCTTTCTCCGCCTTTCCTGTATTCCATGCACGGAGGCGCTATTTGCCGAATTCAGTCACGTGACCTGCCGCAATCGACGGTACACGGTTCCTACACGCGCGAGTACTGGCTTTCCCTATTAACTTAGGATTTCTAGATATCTGAACGCGCAATTCTCACTCCCGTAGGGAGTCTAGTAGAAACTCTAGAAAATGGTAAAGCCCCTCGATGTGTTTGCGCTTGTCTGGCAAGTGGCGTCAAATGCGCCAGTGCACGAGGCCTCTGTCTGGAGCCAACGTTGTCTGGAGTGGCCTTTAAAAGCGGATGGCGGAGGAACACTGCCGCACTGCGGCTCTTGGAAGCGAATGGCGGCGGAGCACCCGCTCGTGGCACGTGTCTTGCGCGTTTCAACAACAATGGTTGGCGGTAGGCTGTCTTCATGTGCGTTTTGTTTGGGGTGATGACATCTGGCCACTTTGTTTCTAACGCTTATTTTTATTTTTTGTTCTCAAGCGCGCGAAAGAGCGTGTCCCTGCACGCGCTCGTGGCGCTGATTGTGCTACGGCGACATTTTGTTTCGTGCGATTTCTTTATATTTTCCCTGCGAGCGCGTGCTGTCGGCATCGGGTACTACAAACGATGGCATCACCGTAAACAGAAGGACATTGAGGCCCTCTAGTTGGCGGCACTCGTCAAAAAACGCCTTTATGAAGGGGCTTTAGAAAAGTGTTCATTTAAAACGTTTCTATAAGAAAAAAATGTGAGTTCTAGGGGCGCACACTTTTCAAAAGTCCGCGCCCTCCGGTATCTTCTCCGAGGCCTCCATATTTTGGGCACGCATTCATTGGGCTCGAGGTCAGCGTTTGGCGCCTACTCGGATTCAACTCTATTCGACACGAACGCTGCGTCAATACTCTGCTTGAACTCGGATCCAATCTGACGCTTTTCGCAGGATGCGATGCGCCAGTGATGCGATTGCGGCACCATTTACGACAAACTGTGCCGAAGTGCTTATCTTACCACGTCCTGATACGTTTCACCAAAATGTGAGCAGTTTGCGCCACCATTGCGCCAAAAGCTCATTTCACAATGTCAGCACAGAAACGGATAGTTAAGATGAAACTGCCGGAAACATTGCGCCAAAAGCTCATTTCACGATGTCAACACAGGAACAAATAGTTGAGATTAGAGTCACTGTACAGTGACTTTAAGGTGAGACTGCCGGATCCTTACAGTAAGCTTGCGCAATTTTTCGAGGCATTTTACTCCGGCCGTTTTTTAAGCTACCCAAATTGTGTTTTCTGAATGCCCGGACTTTATAGTCTTCTCGGTGTGCGATTTATTGTCTCAAAATTCGAAAAAAGCTTTTGAGAAAACCGTAAATAAAGATGATGCAGAAACCAACACTCAAATTTCCGCCCGCTCTCCGTTGGTGTGAAGTCACAAATGGTACAGACTTTCAGGCCGCGCAGGTATTCTTAAACAGAGTATGTCGAGCGTCTTTTTTCCTGCTTCTCGGTGAATGAGCTTCCAAGCATTCTTTTCCCACCATCAAACGTGTTGTAATCAGTTGGGAACCTGGTTTACTGCCCACTTTGTACCATTTCTGTCGTCACACTTCAGTGTTGCCAGTAGAAGCTCTCTGCTTGAGAAACACGATGAGAACAAAATTAAAAAAATGCAATAACTTCACATACTGTTTTTTTGTTTCCTTTTCATACAATACTTGGGGGACTAGTACTGTCATGTTCATCGGTGTGTTGTGCCAATTTTGATGCAAATCAGCTACCATAAAAAATCGCTCCGGCGTCAATTTGGACGTTTTTAACTAAACATATTTTCTGAAAGTGCCCAAGATACTTAGCTTAAACCAGCCATTATATTAAAAAAAAAATTCAATAATTTTTAATTGCAGAAAAACCAGTGATCTTAATAAAGATCAGTGAGAAATACGATATAGCCGAAACCGAAACTAACCTGTGACTTTACTGGTCCATTATCTTGTTGTGACGTTGGAGGAACCGTGGGCAGCTTGAGCCTGTTTCGCCCAGCGTCTGAACCAGTCAGAAAGCCGTCGGAATCGTCCGTGGGAAATAATGGACTACGGTCCATCGAGCTTGTCTTAGTCAAGCGGTGACCAGCAAAAGATTTTCAGCACGAGGTTTCAGTCGATTCGTTGCTCGCATTCGACCAGGCGGCATCGCTTCTGAAGAGACCTCTCGGGGGGGCTGCCTTCGCGGTCCGCCTACATATCAGGGGGGGAATTTAGAAGGGGGGGGGGGTGACCCCCCCCCCCCCCCTTCCTTAATTCCCCAAGGTCAACATTTAAGATATTAAATCATTGGTATACAACAACCAAAAGTTTACTTTTTCTTGACAGCAAATATTGAGTCAACAAGATAGATCTGGGCAACGTTTCGGCCGTAACGTCATATCTCAGCAGGCCCCCCTCCACCAGCCGAATGCCTATCGCCCCTCCCAGGCCCGACCCATTAATCCACCCCTACTACATAAGGACCCAGATGCTGCTTCGAAGCAGAATGGCATGGAAGGTTTTATTTGCTAGCAATGTGTGAACTGTTTTCTGGCACGACGCGAACACCAGAAGCCGCCAGCGTTCGCGTCGGACTTCTGGGACCCACTTCCGTCGCGGGGACTTCTCGGCCGGGAACCAGCAGGATTTCATTTCTTCGTGGTGTTATTGCGCCCCACAGCCAATCACCAATCCCCCCCCCCCCCCCCCCCCCCTGTCCATCGCATGCCGCCAACAGCCTAAACCAGACGCAATTCGCAAAACCACAGACGCTCGCTATCACTACAGCGCACAACGTCGTGGGGTAGGGAGCGTCGTCTGCTCTCGGATACGTTTGACGTCACGAGTGCCTCTGTTCATGGTTGCCAGTAGAGCGGCAGCAAGTGATTCAAAGGCGGATGGGATGCGTCAACTTCAAAATTAATTTTCTAGAAAGAATGGGAATATTTTTATTAAATATTTTGTAAACATATTCACGAATTCACATATTCATAAACACATCTATGCTTTTGGCATATGTAGGCCTTGATAAGATAACATATTGTCACGAATGAAGTGGTGATGAAACAAATAATACCCGAGGAAACTGAAACGTTTAATGGACGAACTTGTGCCCCAAACAAAAAGGGAACAAAAGATAACAACAGAGCGTCGCGGGCGTCGAAGTCGGCGTAACAGCAGGATCGGACGCTGCGGCGAGACTGACTGCAGATCGCAATGCGGAGTCCCTTATGTACCCTCGTGGGTTTCGGCATAGAACTTTTGGCGCGTAGAAGATTCGGAACTCGATCAGACGAAAATGTTCGCGAACTTACAAGAACACCAAGTTGAAAGAATAAATAAAATGACATTTCGTTGACTGGAATCGAACCCAGACCTTCCGCGCGGCAGTCAAACGCGGTAACCATTCGGCCACGCACGCCCACGCTCGGCGACGCGCGTTATCTAAAATTTACCTACCGTAAAATCCCGTAAGGGCGCCCTCCCCCGAGAGATCGCCCTTCCCGTTTTTCTGGCTAAATATCTGTAACATAAAAATTCCGAAACATCGCCCACTCCCCGATTCCCGTTGGACGTCAAACGATGTTTGACGGGAATCGCGCATCAACGGCGCGATCTGCGGTACCGGTGGGTACCGGTGCGTCCGAGAAGCGAGTTCATAGCGGGTTCCCGCGTTTTTGTCTGCGATCTGCGCGCATGATATCGGCTCCCGTAACACGCGAGTTGTTCCCGCGTGTAAATTGTATCGTGAAATGCGAATCTGCTGCGTTCGCGATTTGCGGTATCCGTTCCCGAGTTCGTGGCGAATTCCCGTGTTTTTGTCCGGAATCCGCGCGCGATATCGATTTTTAGCTGTCAGTAACACGCGCGAGTTGTTGAAATGCGGTTCTGTTGCGTCCGCGTTCTGCGTATTCCCGCGTTTTCCCGCGATCTGTAGCGTATTCCCGCGTTTTTGCCCGCGATCTGCGCGCGCGATATCGGTTTCCGTGACAGGCAAGGTTGTAGCGGGTTCCTGCGTCTCTATTGCACCGTGAAACTTGAATCTGCTGCGTCCGCGATCTGCGATATCCGTTCCCGCGAGATGCGAGTTGTCGTCGGGTTTCCGCGAGTCCTTCGCACCGTGAAACGCGAATCTGCTGCGTCGGCCACTTGCGGTATCCTTTCCCGTGACACAAGAGTTGTACCGAATTCCCGCGTGTTTATCGCATCGTGAAACGCGAATTTGCCGTGTCCGCGATATGCGGTATCAGTTCCCGCGTCACGTGGTTTGTGGCAGGGTGCCCCGGCGCTTATCATCAACTTTTGGTAAAGTTTTGCTGTGGCATCCCCAAAGATAGCCCACCCCCAGTTTTAGAGCGCAGCTCTTAGGCGCCCGTTTCCGGCTTGAGCGGCGTCGGCGTCGCCGTCGCCGTCGGCGTAACCGCGCGGTGCATTATGGGTAAATTTCCCCGCTAAATCTAGCGGAAAAATTTCCCCGCTAAATCTAGCGGAATAATTTTCCCGCTAAATCTAGCGTAAAAATTTCCCCGCTATATCTAGCGGAAAAATTTCCCCGCTAAATCTAGCGAAAAAATTTCCCCGCTAAATCTAGCGGAAAAATGTCCCCGCTAAATCTAGTGGAAAAATTTCCCCGCTAAATCTAGCGGAAAAATTTCCCCGCTAAATCCAGCGGAAAAATTTCCCCGCTAAATCTAGCGGAAACATTTCTCCGCTAAATCTAGCTTAAAAAATTTCCCCGCTAAATTTAGCGGAATAATTTCCCCGCTAAATCGAGCGGAAAAATTTCCCCGCTAAATCCAACGGAAAAATTTCCCCGCTAAATCTAGCGGAAACATTTCCCCGCTAAATCTGGCGGAAAAATTTCCCCGCTAAATCTAGCGGAAAAATTTCCCCGCTAAATCTAGCAGAAAAATTTCTCTTGAGGTCAGGTGACCCCCCCCCCCCCCCCCCCCGAGGTCACGTGACACCCCCTGGTCACGTGACCTTGGCGAGGGGGTCGTGTGACCCCTCCAAGGTCACGTGACCCCCCCCCCCCCCCCCCCCCCCCCCCCCCGATAACACGTGAACCTCAGTACCCTTCCCTCCTCCTCCTCAAGAGCTGCGCTCTAATTCGGCGTTACAGGGAGTTTGTAAACGGCTTTCATTTTTTTCACCATTTATCTCTTCATTTTGGGTGGGCGTCCTTACGGGACTTGACCACTTGACCATACATATACGTCTTAATTGTCAACATAAAGGGGAAAATTAGTAATGCTCCGCGCGGAGCTGGACCTTGTTTTACTATGGTTCTTGAAATAAAAACAAACATAAATAAAACAATTTTTTTTCTAAACATTTCTAAATTTTTTTGTTGAAATCGGGCACCATTATTTCAATATTGAACTTCGTTGAATTTTATTAAAAGTTTGAAGGTTTGCCGAACCAGTTGAACCTTGAAGTTTATTGTCGAGCTTCAGGTTTGACAAACATTAGTGACATCCCGAGTCGTGACATGAGATATTTTAATGACAGCAGACTCGATCCACAGCGCCCAGGCCTTGCTCGTCTTGCTGGGGGCGGCACCACATGCATGACCATCTCTTCCTGTAGGTGTCTGTTGTGAGAGAGAATGTCTGATTTGAGAACTGTGAATAAGTGACATTTCAATCACCAAATTTAATTGGATTGTCCTATCTGTTTTTCAGCAGGCATTTCGGTTTCGGTGGTTGCCGCTTGTTTTTTTTGTTTTTTTAGGCTTTCTTTCGTGAAGTCGTATGTTTGTCTTAAAATTCTGGAAAACACCGAGTGGCATGTCTGGCGTCAAAAAGCGAAGACAGCAGTTTCTAGAAAAACTTCCGATTGCTTTTGATGTCTGTTTGAATAAACACGTTGATGAAAGCTCCTGTTAACTGCAAGCTGGTCGAGATAGTGTCTTTGCCAAGAGAAGAATGCTGCCTTTCTTGTTGAGAGAAGCAGAGATACGAAATGACGGAACTTTTTGTACCGGGACAATGCAATGGAAACTGATAACAGCTCTCTGTTGCATCTAACCACCGCAATTTGCTTCTTGATGATAACGATATTGGCGACGACCTCCCTCTGAAAATAGCGTATTTGTCTATGGTCCTGTCTTGTGATCGTAAGGGACACAGCGCATGCTATATAGGTATTTCTTTTCTCATTTTCATTACTGACGAGATACCAAGGCATCGGTCGATCGTGTCAAGAAGCTAGGCTAAGAAGTGGGGAAAGTGGGACGAGTTTCGCTTGAGTGTGTAAGATTGGCGATGAGCATAACTAGGATATTAGGTTTCAGTTTTCTTTAAAGTGAGTTTGAGGATGCCATAAGTACCTAACAGGTCAGGCACTACGAGGGCTGTACGAATAATACATGAATGTTAAGAACTGGTATCCATGCCGAATTTAATTCTTTGTGTCACTTTTCAAGAGAGCAGGATATACGCAGATTGTCACCGACAGCTAAGACCTGTGATGTTGAAACTTCGTCAATATCCTCATAACTTATGTGACACCGACCCCGGTGCCTCACTTTATGTGATTTTGTAACTCCTAACACTTGGCTTGTATCTAACCATACACTGTTATACATTTTACTTTTACTTCTTTCTCGAATTGGTCTCTTCATTTTTTCGTAGGACCAATTTGATGTTACTGTTACATAATCATTTCCTTTTTCTTCCTTCTTTTGGCTGTTTAGGTTCAGTCTAAAGAGTGAATCACCATTCCAAGCCATCTTCACCATGCCCGGGATCTGTCCAAGGTGTAACACGACGGTGTTCTTCAACGAGGAGAAGATCGCCATCGGAAAGCACTGGCATATCAAGTGTTTTTCATGTGGTGAGTACTGTATTGCTTTTCCGCTTTTCCCGACTAGTGGGATGATTGTTGGTACCCGGCTTCCTTTTTATTCGTTCCACCTTCTCAAGTATGACTAACTGACAGTGGTACCTGCAGTGATATGACTAATACACAAACCATTTGCACCACCAAGCCATGCCAAAGTGCTTATACTTGCTACATTCTTCTACACTTTGCCACAACATGAGGAATCGGTGCCAGCATTGGGTCAATAGTTAATTTAATTCACTTTCTCAGTATTTTATCTAAGGCTCTGCTACGCTGCCGGATGGTTATGATAGGCGTCTGCAAACTCTCAGAAACGTTTGACTATCGCTTCGAGTGATGTACTATTAGATTTGATAATTTTATCAAACACTGATGGTCTGAGAATTTTGGCAATGACTCTAAGTGTTTGTCTGGATGTGCTCTGCTGAGTTTGCTTCTCACTGCACACACTGATGCACTGCGAAGAAGTGGCATTGCAGGCAAGCGCAGTGGCGTGGATAGAGAAAAAGCATTCATTCATGCTCTGTTCACCTTTAAACTGACAAGGCAGTGAAGATGGAAGGCACATTTGAAATTTAGCCTGTACTTCAATCTTGCTTTCAAATATGCCTTTCTAGTGCGAGTGCTCATTCAACGAAAGCATGTTTCAAAGCCGCAGTCTTATGCCTCTAGCCTCATGCAAACCCTCGTGTTGGATATTGGTAAAAAAAAATTGCCAGCTATATTTGATGATCCCTACCCAGAATTTCAATGTATGGGAAATGGTGGGTTTTATTGACACTATTTTTATTGGCATACTCTGATTAATCACATGATGGTATGCAACATGGCCACATGATGTTGGGAGGGTGTCAAGTGACACCATATTTTATGTGCACAGGGTCATGGCACTATGATGCCATGCAACATGGTCATGCAATGTCATCACTGTGTGAAGTAGTGGTGTCTGACGTCATGGCTTCAAGATGTGGTTTCATGTGACATGATGGCATTACGTGACAGTGTTGCGTGACATCAAGTCACGGCACATTGTTGTTTCTTGTCACACTGTGCCATGTGATGGTTGTCACATGAACACTATGTGAAGTCCCGTCTTGCGGCACAGTATCACGTGACATTGTGAGGTAACTCAATTTGACGTCAAATGACATTGGGCATGTGACCTGACATCATGTTGCACCACAACTTGACACTCAGTACTAGATCCAACAACGTTGTTGACACCGTGAAGTGAAATGAGTAATGTGATACCGCGACTGCGAGGTGAATCGTATGACACCATGAAATGAGTGACGTGACATCATGACTTTGCGAGGTGAGTCGCGTGACATTGTAACATCATGTGACTTGAAGTGAAGTCAGGTAGCACAAGTGATGAAAGCTTTCTTTTAGCTGAGTCTAGAATGGCACAGTTTTATTGCAACCTCCTCAATTTGAAGAAACATTGTTAAAAATCTAATTTGGTACGAAAATTACTTTGACATAGTTTCAGTGAAGTACTATTTGGTTAGCCCTTGAATAATCAAAGACAAACCAAATCGTATTCCCCTGAAATTTTTTTATGCCTAAAATAACAATTTATAGATGTTCATATGCTTGATCAGTCAATCCGCATGTGTTTCAAAGGCAGCTGCTGCAGCAATCTGCTTTTCTTGTTTTCCCTCAAAAAGGATAGCTCTTGTAACAACATGCCTGTTGCTGTGTCTGGTGCTTTGAAGCACAACTAAATGGTTGAGTGTTTGAGAGAAACAGATTGTCCGAATTCTGTGCAATGGATGCAATGGGGGGGGGGGGGGGGGGGGGGGGGGAGTGGTGGCACAGGAGTGGTAAGGCATAGAAGGCATTGTTGTTTAGTTGGATAGAATTCACGTTGAAATGAATGAGAGTAAAGTGTATGCCCCTCAAGATTTATTTGCTGCTGCTGCTTCAAAAATAGTTTTGAAGTGACTCGGACCAATCATATGCTACTGCATCAGTGTGAAAGCGAGGCAAATAGTGAGGAGTTTCTAACGCTAACCAAAGGCTGAGCATGGCAAGCCCTGGACATCTTACTCCGCACCCAGTGAGATTGTGCCATTAGCTGTCAGTGATATAGCCCTTTTGTGCCCGTCTTCGCAATATGCAGTTCATTAAATTCCAACACAATATTGTTTTGTGATCTTTTTAGCTGTGGTGCATGTTCGTTTTATAGCGGAGCTGTTAAGGGCTAGTTTCCCCGGGAGATGGCGGTAGCCGTCCAGAGTGTTGTGTTTGCTGGTTGTCTGCTTGCCGCCATTGCTCATGAATGGCGCAACCTTTTGAGCCCTTCCACTCTGGTTTGCCAACTGGCGGCCGGCCATTACTTCATTCCCACCATAGTACAGCTTCGCTGGTTTTCCTTCTTCACCAAAGTGGAAAGGCTAAAAGTTTTTTTCATTATGCTCATTAAGTCGATTTACGATTATACAATTCGGTGGCAGTGCATACCTTAGATAAGGCTCACACGCTTGCCACTGCTTGTGACCGAGTGCCTTGCGATCTCTTAGGAGTATTCACACGAGAAAGAAATCCCGGGGATTTCTCCACGGCACGTGCATCCTGCGACAAAAACGTCAGGCCTTGCGATGTGCAAAAGCGTCGCGTTTTCATCTCGTAATGCGCGCGTGCCGGGGAGAAATCCTCGGGATTTCTCCTTCGTGTGAATATCCCTTTTACGACGATAGGACACACTAGCACCCTCTGTCGGGTAGCAGGGGAACACTTGGCATTTCATTCACTTCCAGTTTTTTTTTCACATCATTTTCTTTCTTTCTTGGCTCGAAAACTTTTTGACAGTCTGATAAACGAGTTTTTCATAGACAGTATATACATTTGATTTCGCAAATACCGCAAAACCTTCTCTCTAGTGACATGCAGTTTCAGGGCCACATCATAGATGGCGTCAGCGTGCCAGTCTGATCTCTCGTAAGAGATCACAAGAAGTCGGTCGTCAGCAGATGCAGGTGTGTGAGCCAGCGTTCAGTGGCCTGGAGAATTCGGCGGTTTCTGCCCTAGTAAATTTTGTCACTACAAGTGATTAACTCATAGAGAAAAAGAAAGGAAAAAAAAAAAACAGTTGAAAAGTTTGGATCATTTTTTAAAAACAAATTATGGTACTTTTTACGTGGCATTTCAGTTATTCCGAAATAATACGACTCCCAGGTCTCAAGTTAATAGATGGTGTTTCCAGTCGCCCATCTTTTCGACGGGTCCATAGGGGGGCTGTTTGTAAAAAAGAGTACTAGACACGTCCGGCGACTTTTTCCTCAGGTGGCTTCTCCAAACCCACGTCCATCCGTTAGGCTCCTTGTGCTATTTGATTGGCTCCTAATGTTAGCAGCATGCCTCTGGCACTTCAGAGGCATGCTGCTGACATGCTCCAGGGAAAACTTTCTCATGGCATATGACCAGAAGCTTCCAGACGAGGTACCTAATGGTGTATTCGCACAACAAATCTTTACATCTAAAGAAAACCGAGGACGTCCTAGATCTGCGAGGAGAAAAGGCCATGAGAAGGAGGAGGCAGTGCAGAAGATCCAAGTGTGCATTCGCACGACGGAGTCACCTAAATAGAGTGTTCCAAGCGGACCTTCCGCAGTAAAACGAGCCAGAAAAATTGGCGCCTGCACATAAAAAGCTCAAACTTTCACCAAAGGTGCACTGAACAGCTCAGTCTTACCGTGTGAAATTTCAAGGTGCAGTTCTCTCCCTGTAAAAAAATGAGAGCAAAAAGACAGAGTTAGCGACGCCATTTACTTGTGGCGCCATCTCCCGATAGGCACAGCGAGCAGACAACAGACACATCATCTGCTCGGTGTACGTATCGTGCAATGAGGCCACAAACTAATAGCGTGGCTAACTCGGTCATCTGCATACGTGCCCAACCTTGACTTTGGTAAGGTTTTTGCTCTATATATGGTCAAAGTTGCACACAAAAGGCAGGGACAGAGAAGGGAAATACGTAAACGACAGACAAGGGCACACTGACAACTCACATGTATTTGAAAGAAGGGGGAAAGAAAGAAGTACGTATAACGGAATCAGCTTGAGTGAAAGCCACACAGGAACAAGGGTACACAAGCTCAGTGGGGGCACTCGGATTCAGCCATACTAATGAAATTGTAGAAAAGCCATTTCCTTCTTTGTTAAAGGGGCACTGACACATCTAAATATTTTTGTTTTTTTATTATCCGAAACGATTGAAAACGATGGCGGGACAATATTCTCAAAATTTGAAATTTGGGAATTCAGTATTTGTGAAGTAAAAAAACAATTTCCAAATAGCCGAATTCAAAGTTCCTGCGCGATCCGCGCCGGTGCGTTGACGTCAAATATTGCGGAGTCCTGAGAGTCCACTTTCTTTCACGACTCCCTGCTGTTGCTGTGGCAACCCAAAGCAAGGAGGAAAGGAGCGAGCTGCGGCGGGCCGGTTTTGAGCGGTGTCGCCTGTTTTCCGTGGGAGGATACAAATCCAGGAGACGGCACCACAACGAACTCCCGATTTTTGGTATTTCAAAAAGAAGGGCCGTAGTGCGTTCGCAATTGCGTTAAAAAACATGTTTTAGGACTGCCGTTATTAAATGTTATAGAGATGTCGCTTACAAAGCTTCTAAATTTCGTGATTCTTGACGTCACGAATCAAAAGAAGCGAGGAGGCGAGAGGCGGGAGAATCAAACGCCAAAAATAAAAAGGCGCGCGCGCAAGGGAAAATTTTTTATCGCAATGCGTTTTTTTTTTGTGTCTATGACTGCAACTTGCATCGTTTTAGACAATAAAAAACCACGACCTTTTGGGTGTCAGTGCCCCTTTAAAGATGCAGACTACTGGCTGACACATCTCTCACCCGTGCTTAGGATGCTAAATGCTTCAAAGAAGTGAAGCGTTTAACATATCCTTAACGTGAGTGAGCGACGCCTGAGTCAGCCATCCGAGTCTCGAACTGAGAAAGAAATGGCTTTTCTACAATCCTATGCATATGGTTGAATCTGAGTGCCCCCTCAAGCTCGTGTGCACTTGTCTGTCATCTACATGTTTCTTTTCTTTGTCCCTGTCCTTTTGTGTGCAACTTTAACCAATATTTAATCAGTACGAACTCGCCCAACTGACGACATTACTAGTTTTTTGCTCTCGTTTGTTACAGCGATTGAACTGTATCTGGAATTTCACAGGGTAAAAGTGACCTGCGCAGCGCACATTCGGAGAGAGCTTGAGCTTTCTATGTGCAGGCAGCCGTATTTTCAACTCATTTTACAACGGAAGGTTTGCTTGAAACACCCTATAGTGGAGTCGGTGGAGTCTTCCTTTTCGGGAACCTGTGCGCGACCTTCGGGAACTCGCCGAACAAAAGGCAGGGAAGAAAAAAAGCACCTCGCAGCTGAATGATGCTCACCGTGACCTTTCCACAAAAAGAAGGGGTCCGGGCACTCCGATGGGACGATGGATATGCTGTGGGCTGGTCTGCTCCACTGCTATCTGTGGACTTGTGGGATTAGCACACATCAATGGCGCAGTGCATATGCGACCTCAAATTTGTTGACGTTTCGTTCTCTCCTCAAAGAAAAACTTATGTCGTGCAAATACATCATGAGGAGCATGGTAGCGACTGGCAGGTGGATGTGTTTGCAATTGAAAAGTGTTTGATGTTCGCTGTTTTTCCGACTCTGCAGCAAATGCGGACTGCCACCGCCGCCTGGACAGTGGCAACCTGACGGAGCACGACGGAAACATCTTTTGCCGCTCTTGCTACGGAAAGCTGTTCGGCCCCAAGGGCTACGGCTACGGCGGAGGGGCTGGCGTACTCTCCATGGATACGGGTGACAGGTACAAGAATGGGCCTCCTACCAGGTGAGATATGAGAGAAACTGCACCCGCCTGCATCTTGAACTTGATTCTGAATCATAATGATACCTTAACCGCATTATTTATCGAATTTGACGTGCACCTAGAGGGGGAACGATACAAATGTATGAATGTGTGCAAATATATGCAGAAATATACATTATATGTAGGATTCTGCGTTTTCGGAGTTAATTTTTGAGGAAATTTAAAGGGTGTTTTTTGGAGTTCATTTTTTTTCTCCGAAATTCAGAGTTTATTAGAGCATTCGTTTATGACACTTGAAATTCAGAGTTTTTAGATGCTTTATCTGAATATCTGGAAAACAAAAAAAGATACCCACATAAAGTATCTAAAGAGCTACATGAGGCACATAGAAGCCAAAGGCACGAGGTGTACAAGTGACAGATCCATAACCTCATAGACAAAAAAATATGAATGTTTTGATAGAGGGCTACACTGCATGGTTGTAGGGGAGGGGAGGGGAGGATGAGTTAAAATAAAAAAAGGCACTTGCACGAACTTGCATTGACGTACATAAATCGAAAATGAACAGTTTCTTTATTTCACGACAAACAACATGAGATACGACATTTCCACGAAAACCTAGAGACTCCTCTCAGTGAGACTTTTGGTGTTGAACTGCGCTCACCAAACTACGAACATCCACATTCAAGCTGCTAACTGCGAGTCGCAAAACATTGTGGAGGTTCTCGTCAGTATTTCGTGAGCGGAAGTTGGATTTTATGCACTTCATTCGTGAAAAAGTCTGCTCGCAGACTTTTTCAACAATTTAGTCAACTTTATTTTTTATTTCTTTTTTGTTTCTTTAGCTGGCTGCGTAGGGGGGAGGGGGGTGGCTGAGGGCCGTTTGATACTACCTCGCGGGCCGGATCCGGCCCGCGGGTTGCTGGTTGCCGACCACTGCTCTAACGCATTTCTACCTGATGGTAGCGGGCCGCTGGTTGCCGACCACTGCTCTAAGGCATTTCTACCTGATGGTATAGCCTTAGCATTGATATAAATATATTTTTACAAAGTTTGACAGTACAAAATAAACCATATGCATACTATTCAGAACAGAAAATGTTTTGTGGGAAAGGGCCTTAACAATTTGTAAGAAATGATCTAGCCAGACATTTTGGGGGAGGGGAGTAAGTTTTTTTCCTAAACCATTCCAAAAAAAAAAAAGTAAGACATATCTTGAAACTATAATTGCATATATGAAAAGAAGAAGAAGAAACAGATATAGGTATGCTTGGTTATTTTCGCTAGAATATGTATTGGCATAAATAAAATAATTGTGCGGATGATCATGTGACGTGATGCGAATAGACAGCGTCAGCTGGTGCAATATCTAATGTGTGGTGAATGAAAGAAAATTGCATTTTGGTGATACTGCATAAGTTCCATCCTAACACCCAGAGTGAGGCCACCGGTGCCTACATGTCGACGGTGTTCTCTCTCACGGGCACGTATACACCGTAGAGCAGTGTCTACTTGCTCCGGTGTATGCTTTAACTGCCCCATCCTCACGCAAAGGGCTTAGAGCGCCGAACAGATATATATTGAACACTAGCTCGCCCACGAGATCCGGCCAGTTGAGGCAGACCGTCTGTCATGGGTAAGTATGCATACCTGTAGCACGTGGCGAGATTCGGAATCTTGCCAGCACGAACACTGCATAGGCATGTAGCACACACCTTGAAAGCAGTCAGGTCATTGTCCGGGGACGACGACTGAAGAACCTCGTGGCAAGCCGCCGGCAAATACACCAGGTCTTGCATAAGCCCCGGTCGATCACACACAGAACAGCTAATGCGTTGCATCCTCCTAACACGCAGGGTGAAACTGAGTGCCGAGCACACGGGCAACCAAAGGCAAGAAAGCTCAGGTGGCACCCTCTCCCAGTGCCGAAACCAACTGCGATAAGGGCGTGCATGCTCTGTTTTTGACAACAAGACACTTGCCCAGTGCAACAAGCTCAATACAGCTGACGTTGTAGAAACTTGTTTTAGGGACCAGTGTCTCCCCCTAAAGCAAGAAACAAGACAGATCAAGACACCATGGCAGTCATAGTCATAATCCTATATTTATTTTGGCTCAGGACTCCCATGGCACAACAGAAAGGCAATGCACCCATACCATTTGAAGGCCTGTGTGCCATGTCCATTCGCATCTTATTTCACCCTCTATGTTCCTCAATCGTGGAATTCAATCAAGAGAAGGAGCCTCATTCTGGAAACTCAATCTCAGTTTTAGTATACCCACACTACTTTTTTCCTTCTTATTAAAAAGGCATTAAGGTGATATTTAAATTTGGACGCTCCGAAATTGATGTTTGTGTGAACCATGGCGTAGAAAGGAGAGGTGCCCGAACGACTCGAAGGCACATCGTAATGGCCGCACAAGGACTGCGTAACTACTGCAAGAGACGCAAACATTGCCTTCTACTCTTGCTCAAGTGCCAGCCTTGATAGAGCTTTCTTTCAGAGACGTTACAAACAACCGTGCTTGCACTGTCGAGGCACAAAATGTCTCCCGAGTTCATAGATCCAACCTCATTGCGAAGCAATACGGAATACGTTTCATGTTAGCATTGCCTTTGCCGCAGTAATGCGGGAAATGGGCCGATGCTTGCGGAAACAGGCATGTAAACAAAAACCGATTCGAGCCCTTCCGTGCCTTGTAAACTTGAAGTGTTTATTCCGACTAATATACAGTCTAGTGAGATGAGGACGTCAGGGAGTTCCTTCAGTTGTCCCGCCTCCCGCACGAGCTTCAACCTTCAGTGATGCTTCAGCGTCTCACGAGCCTCAGGCTTGCACGAGCAGCCAAAGCACGGTGGAAGGCATCAAGTGCATTCTGGAGGCAGGGCGTCTGAAAGATATGGCCACTGCTTATGTTGCTCAGTGACTATGGAATGGCTACAGTGTCTCACACCGTAAAACGAGCCAGAAACATTGACTTGGTTTTAAAAGCGCACAAAAGACGAGGACAGAGTAAGAAACACAAATGACGGACGAGCGCTCGTCCGTCGTTTGTGTTTCTTACTCTGTCCTCGTCTTTTGTGCGCTTTTAAAACCAAGATGAATAACTACCAACTAGCCCAACTTTCCTCCCTACTGCAGAAACATCGATACCTGCATGCACGTGAATAGGTGCAGTGAGCAGATGGCAGAACGTGTCTGTTTGCTAAGCCCATCGAGAGAGCTTTGCCATGCGTTACAAGCTTCGCAAACTCTGCCATTTACGGACCTGTCCGTTGTTGACCCCAACAAGTTTGTTGGTGTCATTTTTTGCAGGAAAAGAGTTATGGCTTAGAATTTCATCCACTAGAGTGCACTATCTTGGTGCACATTCCGTGGAAGTTCGAGCTTTCCATGTGCAAGCATAGATTTTTTCAGCTAGTTTTAGGGCTTAAGGTGCGCCCTAAAGATGTTTGCAAGCAGCCGCGCTTCGAGAGCCAGTCTGGCCTTCGTGTCTGTCAAACGCTTTGTTTGGGCGCCAGTCTGGAAACCGTGGGTACGCCTCGGCAGTGTTTGATTATTGGATGATCTACCCATTCTAGCAGCAAGATGGTGGTGCTCAGGGGCCCTACTTGCAAACGTCTATATATAGTTAGCCAGAGTAAAAAGGTTGCTTTGCTGTCTCTTTCCACATGCACAACAAAATTGTTTTGCAGCAACATCCCGGCAACGGCGCAAGCGCACGTGGCACCGCAGAACGGCACAGTCAAGCCGGTGACTGAGAAGCAGCCGCGCTGGGGAGGCACGGACATCTGCCCACGCTGCGGCAAGGCCGTGTACATGGCCGAGAAGAAGATGGGAGGTGGCGCCGTAAGTGGACCGCTTTCTACGTCCTTGCACTGCCATTGCATAGGATGCGCTCCACAGTTCAAAGCTGATTCACATATTTTTGATTGAGTATTATCGACTGCATTGCAACTGCTCCGCTTACGACGAGAGAACGTGCTGGAGCCATCTGTTGGGTGGCCCTGGAACCCGACCTGTGTGTATTTTATAAATATTTCTTTGACCGTGCTCTCGAAATGATTTTGACAACTTAATTAAGTGGAGCCCTGCGCGGACAACAGTTTCGCCGTCCGATCCGCCGCCGCAGACTTTGTATCCGCACTTGAACCGCATTTGCAATGTTCTTAAATTATTGCATCCTCGTCCAACTTGCATCCGGATACTTTGTATCCGCATCTGGACCACATCCACAAAATTCGGAACCGCATCCACCCACAATCCACATATTTATTTTACGCTATAAAATCGAGCATGAATGAAAAAAAAAAAAGCATGTGGATGATATTTTATTATCTGTTTGCTTATCTTTGTACAAAGAACTATTCAAGTCGGATTACGGCGAAACTAATTTTACCATATCTATATTATAAACAATCATATCATTCCAGAGGCACTTTGCGTTGCTGAGGAGATGATCGCAGTTACGAAATCGTCCTAAGAGTCTGCAACAATCTGCCCTAAACATGCGTGCCACAAAAAAAAAAAAAAGAAACTTTTAATACATATATATTTCTTTCCTTTTGCTTTGTAACACCCATTTCAAGCTATGCATATTTTCTGAGCATGAAAATTAACCAAGGATAGACTAATGACATTATGTCATTTTATTTTGGTTAAACAATAAAAAAGTGGGAAAGGTGGTCATTCATCGCAGCAAAGTACTCACATATATGTGGTAATGCGAGTGCACCACTGGGGAGTTATTACAACATTCAATAATGGCTTTCAGTTTGCTTTCAGGTTTAGTTTGATATTGCTTTCAGTTTTAAAGGGACACTGATACCCCCTAAAATTTAATTTTTACTTTTTGCCAGGTGATTTAATATTGTTTCAGGAGACTACCCAATCAATATTTTGTTGCAGAGTCACATATATTTTTAATAAAGTAAAAAAGCTCTGCTGCTTGAAACCGATACTGAAACACGAGTACGGAAGCAAAGGGCCGGAAATCACTTGGCTACACCCGACCACATTTTTTTTCCCCCTCCGCCTCTTCGGTTTTTGAAGCAGACGACGACGATGACAAATTTGCATGAACCATTTGTCGTGCGACTGTTTGGCACTTATATGCCTTTCGCTCGATGTTCCACGCTTGACGATCGATTGGCCGTTACTACGAACGAGAGTTCCGGAGTTGCGGCCCCACGTCCGTCGCAACAATGGCCCATCGCATGCCACCACCGCGTCGTCTTGACTGCGGTATGTCGCCATATTGAGGATGACGTGTGCATGTACTTCCTGTGATCTGTGGATATATTTTTGTTTGATCAACGTTTTTGCAGCTCCTTGGAGGACACAAAGAATGGGGTTCATATTCTTTTCTATTTTTAATATTGAAAGTGTGTCTTAGGGGACCCATGACCTTAAGTATATTTTGTACAGATAGTTTGAACACCACGTGACCATGGAAACGAGAATGAATGCAACTGAAACTGGTCATCTCCTGATGACCGACTGTTTTCGGGCAGAAAGAAACAAATTTCTAGCCGTAAATTGTGTTATGAGTAGTTGGGCTCTTGAGTCATGTTTAAATAAAAACCTCAGTGAGCATAAATATCCTGTCAATGTCTCTTTAAGGCGATGCAACAATTTTTTTACTTTAAATAAATACAGCTTATAATGATTCCTTACATTTATATAACCTGCGAAACATATGCAAAAAAATTAGAGAAAAACAAATATTGTTTATCCTCTCAACTCGCAGTCATAAAAAGCGGCCACGTGACCTGGAGTCGGATCATATGCCGCAGTGTTTTTAACATAGCCACATATTGTGGTTTCCAGGGCATGCGCTGAGTTTTACGCACTGTTAAGGTTCGGCTGTTCCCATCATCCCAGCGATTGGCCACTAGCCACTACCCGAATGCATGTCGAAGCATCGATTGTCGCGAGCCGAAATCAAATTCCTGCGCAGTCTTCGTGTCCACGGTATGAGCAGCATTTGAATATCGTTGCAGCAGGGATTGCAAAGCTTGATGACGCACTCCTGGGAATAGCATTGTTGGCATTGTCCCCGCAGCTCCGTCATCAAGTTTTGCGAAGGAGAGACCGAAAGAGAAGATACGGTTTTATCCGTTCAATTCCACCGAGACGAAGACGCTGCTTGGTCAGTGGCGTTGTGTTCGAGTATTCTTGGGTTTCACTAGTGCCAGTAAGCTGGTGTAAAGTGAGAAACATTACTACCCAATATCGTTGCACGGCCCCTTTAAGCATGAATCTGCAACTGCGTGCTTCAAACTACATACTTAGCAGCAACTTGCCAGATGTCAAGAACAAAAAATGCATACACGCGTGCACGTTTCACTTGCCGAGGTCTCCGTATAGAAACAGAGTATTGTCAACGATGTGCAGATTCAGACTGATTCGCCTCTCTCAAATTGCAAGGCCTGCTATTAAGAAGCTTCTCTGCACTGTTCCTCTTGATGCTGGAATGGCATGCACAAACTGTGGTACAAGAGTGAAGTGTGCAAACGTACGTTGGTGCAAGTTCCACCACTCGACCCACTTGTAGGCCGGTCTGCCAACTTGGATCACTCGCCGTGTCTGCTATTTTGTCGTCGGCATTCTTCAAATTAGATAGAATACCCCTGTCCTTCGGATGTCTTCCTCTCTTCAAAGAAACTTTTGAAGTGCAAATAACGTTAACATCTTCGACTTGACGTTAGTTTGTCACTCGACGTCTCGGCAGCCGCAATCATTTTCCCGGCATCATTGTGTATGGAATGCCTTTCCGAGTTGTTGTCGAGTAGGGCACAGGCTGCTTAGTTTGGGATGTAGAAACACGACAACCTTGTGCAATCTGTGCAGCTTTTTCTCGGAGCTGTAAGCATATATCTTCGATCACCCAGGAAGGAAAGTCGTTACTTAATGCTCTCTCTAGGTGCATCAGAAGTTGTCTTTGCCATATGAGGGGGGAGAAAGAGGCTTCTTCTACTTTTTTCTGGCCTGTACATCTTGGATTTTTTTTGCTTGAAGAACGTTTTCCACTCTTTCTCTGCCAAACAGAAAAACACGCTTTCTCGGGACAATTGGTACCCCTGCATTCCTTACTTTTTCTAGGGACAGCATCTTTGGTGAGATAGAACGCTCTAAAGCGATCTTTGGTGTGAATTGGGACTTTCAATCTTGGCGTAAAGAACAATTTTCTCCCTGCCAAATACAATTCATTTTTGTTTTCGTCTGCCAGTCGTGTGCGGATATCTGCAGATGATCTATGGGCACTTAGCGGGCGTGCAGCACTCTAGTTATAAGCGTCCATCCCCCGTAGTCAGTGCATAATCTTCATCTCACAAATACTGCAAAACAATTAGTCTATAGTCGGCTAAAGGCACCATAGATGCTCCGTCTCCAGCTGGTGCTTGGTGCCAATTCCGCCAAGCCTAGCTTGGCTGCGCATGTCATATGAAGTGCTACAAAAGGTGGAAAGCTCGCACTGGAGGCAGAGCATCGGTCCTAAAAATGTTACCTTCGGGGGCCTTGAGGGTATTTGTAAATAAAATGAAGAAATAGTAATGCGCAGGTTGGGAGTGTTCCAGGGCTGGTTGATAGATATGGCGCCAATGTTGTCTCGTCGTAAACATTTGCAACGCGGTCGATCCTACAAACACAAAAGTGTGAACCAGACTTCGCTGACACGATGGTGATAATATTTTCTTGAGGAAAAAGAGAGGAACTAAACGTACGCTACTTCAGCACTTTTATGAGAGAGTATACATACCCAGGTGAAGATCAGTCCAGGAGGAGCTGGATTTTTAAATTGGTTTTAGCTGAATCCAGCTGGGATTTGGTTAAAACCAGTTTTAGAATCCAGATCAAGCGGGACTCATTTCGAGAGCACATGCTCAACAAAATTATATGAACCAGCGGAGCTTGTAACCTCACTAATATACAACTACATCAGAGATTCCTGGAGTAACTAAATGGCGGAGCTATTTAATTTCCCTCAAGACCAAATGGAATCAAATAAAAAATCATTTTATTTTCGCCACATACAAGTGTAAGGAGGGGTTTGGAAAAAAAGCTGCAAATGGGCAGCTTGACATGTTCCAACACACCTGGAACATGGTTGCAGCAGAAATGGCATGCAATAAATATTAATATGTACATTCAATATTAATTTTTTTTTTTTTTTAGAATGGATATGGGAGCTGCGTTTATAAATCAGATGCATTTATTATGCAAGTAAATATGGTAATACTGGATATTGGCTAGTCACTGATATTGCCAGGCATTCAAAGTATAATTAAAAAGTATGCAGGTTTCACGAAAGTGCACGTTCAGTATATTTGCAGTGTATCGCTTGTTGTCAAGGGATCATATCTCTGGTAATTGGGGATCTGATCAATCATTTTGCACTTCTGTTATGACTGTTTTTATAGACTAGTGAAATATCTGATGTGATTAACTTTTTGTGGTACAGTGGACTCGCGATAATTCAAATTCTGATATTTCATACTTCCGGCTAATTCACTCGAATTAAGAAGTTTTGGTTGTCCCGCTATGTTTTTAATCCATTTATGAGCTGCTTATTTCAAACAGTGTTTTTGCTTAAATTCATACTATTTGTTCATTGCAACAGGTTAGCCCCCTTGAGTGTGCTTCTCATTGAGCACCTGTGTACTGCAGGAAAGCAATACCCACAAAGTTTGCGGTCATTGCTCTTTTGCAGTATGCAGGTGCTCCGTGATTAGCACACTCGACGGAAACTAACCCACCACGATTATGCAAGCAGAACTATCCTGACAATCTGCTTTCATTATTTATGCTTGTTTTTTTTTAAATATTTTTCTGGGGAGGTTAAATTTGAGATTAAAAAAAGATGCGCATATGGCAATTTATAAATTCCCTCAATCAGGATAGCTAGCGTCTCTTTAGGTTATATTTTATGTCAAGTCTGTCATTTACATGCCACCCCAATGTAAGCATTAGACTTTCTAAGGCCACAATTCACAGATGTAGTTACATTAAATGTAACTGAGCTGGGAAGTGGACAAGTGGAAGGTTGGAAAGAATTTGCATAAGTTCAGCTGAATTTTCGTTTAAGCATGGTACAACGGTTGGAAAAGGCTTAGAGAAACTATTTGATATTCAGTTAAAAAAAATTCAGCCAAAACCTTTATTTGCTTCAAACTTCACCAATGTTTTATGTGCGTGCCTGGTTATATATAGGCAGCTGTGTAGCGGGAGGTGTAAAAATTATGCTTGGAATGTGGAACTATCCCTATAGCAAATCGCTACATTGCCTCATATCATATTTAGATGAATTATCAGAAATTCAAACTTCTGATATTTCCAACTGAAGCCTCTGGCTTCCTGGAGTTTGAATTAATGAGAATCGACTGTAGTAATGTTGACAGTGGCTATTGCTTTAGGGGTCGCATTAATTCCTCTTTCTATCGCTATTGAGGCTGGAATAATTTTGTTCTCTTCAGCCAATTAATGTACACTAATTAGAAATCTTATAGTGAAGAAACAAAGAAATAGGAAGTGTTGGATATGAAACGAAGGTTCACAAAGTAAAGCTTTACAAGTGCTTCATTCATTGATACATATAAAACACAATGTGTCTGAATAAACCTAGTGATCAAGCTAATATAAAGAAAAGTAGCAGTTACTTTTGGAGTAGGATATGGTCATTCTATTGGGGAAGTACTTGGTACATTTGAGCAAATACTGTTTGCTTAGAAGTAGTTGTGACAATCGCTTTTTTGGGGTTACATGCTCAAGGCTCAATGCAAATTCTAGCTGCTCATAAAACAAGGAGTGCATCAGTGCAATTTAGCGATAAATCTGCTTCCTGACAGAACACATGGTCCAGCGGATGTACCCACAATGTCAGTTTTCTCCAAGAATGTCCTGTGAACATCTCTGCGATCATGTGTTCTGTCTGAAATTGCAGGGTAATTATAGTGAGCCTAAGAAAGGGAGTCAGTTGTAATTGAACTTGGGGAATGAGATGTCAGCTTGCAGAATTGTTGAATTTCTTACATGCCTTTCACTCTCAATGCATCTCTTTTCCATACTGGCTTACCAAAAAGCTCGTCTGGATGGTATCGCTGGACGAAATTGTCAAACAGAGAACATATTCCATAGTTAGACATTGAGATTAACTTATAGGGTGATCCTTTAGAATTGGTCATTTGGCCAATCTTGCGTGGCGTGTTACAATATCATTAATATATACACCTCTCAAAAGAGCAAAGTTTCGGACTTGTCCAAGGTGTATTTTGCACTGCACATTTATTGTCTAATGGTTTGTGTAGCAGGATTATCATTTCACTAGCATGGGCGTCATTAAACCTACGTCCACTGTTCCCACCGTAGCTTTTCTACTAGATTACATTAAATACTCTTGCAACTAGCTTATTTCAGTTCTCCAACTAGTTTACAGCTGCTGTACCCATTCGTTTGTTTCTTATTTTACGTCTGCCATTTCCTCTAGGCATGGCATATTTCGTGCTTCAACTGCACAGAGTGCCACAAGAGACTGGAGTCCACCATCTTGTGTGAGAGGGAAGGAGACATCTACTGCAAGAGTGAGTCAGCACCTTTATTTGAATTTCTTGCTCTATGTATGATTCTGTCATTAGCTTTGTATTCTTTAACATTAGGAAGAACTTATTGACTTGAAAACTCCAGGAACCTTAGGCTGAAGGGGAAAAAAAAACAAAGTGTCCTTCCCCTCTCGAGTTTCGGTTTAAACAATGAATGCCCAGTTTTGTATACCGAAAATTCACAAAAACCCTAGAACTTAAAAAAGAACTACGCTATTCGTTTTCACCTCAAGAACCATAGTAAAAGAAGTCCGGCTACTCGCAAAACATGACTAATTTTAACCTTTTAATAGAGAATTAAGATATATGTTGGTGCATTTTTAATTAGATATACGCAAACTTATAAATACATACACATTCAAATGCCAAAAGCATTGCTTCTTCCTTCGACAGCCAGTTCTTCCTAAAACTACTTAGTGCAGCGCATGAACAATGTGCATAACTTCCTTTTTTCTCGACGTAAAAATTAGTAGACAGCACGTAAACTAATGCTTCTAAGGCACTTTAGACGACTTGCAAAAATCAGTCTCTCAACGTATCGTGCCACAATTTACTATACAGGTGCAAGCACGGGGTGCAAGCTACTGACGAAAAAATAAAAAAATAGACTTATTTGGTTCAAAAGAAAAAAAAACAACAAAAAAACAGAAACCTGTGCTGGGCAATCTACGCTGCCACTTTGCAGACAGCGCACACGTAGGGAGCGCCGACCGATTCCGGTTTTTTTGCTGGGTCATCTGCTATCACAATCCGAATCGGCTGGCACTCAATTTGTCAATGCGATGAATGCCATCTGTCGGCAGCACTTCACCCTATGCATGTATCGTCCTCAAAGTGGCGACATGCCCAGGACATTTTTTTTTTTTTTTCTTTGGAACGAGGCTTGTTCATTTCTTGACTTTTTCGTTGTAAACTTCCACCCTCTGCTTCCACCTTTGCAGTAAATTGCGGCACGATACGCTGTATCGTGCCGCAATGCTGTAATTCAAGTTAAGAAAATGGTTGCTCAGCTTTTTGGGAACAGAATTTTAAAACTGTGTTTTTTTTTTAATTTGACTAGAAAAATATTCCTGCATAAACATTTTAGGCACTGGGTTACGCAAGAATGCATAATTTTTCAACTGCAGGTATGGTCTTTTTGTTGCAATGTGGCTATGTATTGTGGTGAAGCAGACAGTTTTCTGGGCTGATTTTGAATGACATTTGGAAGGTCTTATTTGGAGTTCATTTTTTATCTAAAATTCTGCGTTCATCAGAGTTTACTTTAATTCCGTTTCATATTCTTTAAATTTGTCATTTATCGGTGTTTGATTCTGTCATATTCCAATTTTTCTTAATTTATCTGTGAAATAAAATAATCCTGCAAATAATCACCTTGGAGAAACACCAAAACATCTTAATTGCAACAAGTAGTTTTTAAAAAAATTTGCAGGACAATGTTTCTACAGTTACAAAGATCCTGGCTCCTCCTCCCATAAGAGGTTTAAATGGTGAATTCGTGGCTCCAGTGACCTATAGAAGTTGTCACATTGGACACAAGTGGCAGGCAGAAATAGGAATTAGGCTGGAACAGCTGTGTTGAATTTGGCAGATATTTCTTTTTTCTGCCCAGTTTTGTTAATGTTTGGGCCGAAGCAGTTTTAAACACCAATGGTGCCCTTTTATTTACGGGGTAGGGTGGTTTTCTTCCGGTTGTTTCGGGTATTTACTTCAAAATCTTAAATAGCACAAGAGTGGTGATAACATTGGTGATCAGTTCTCATGACGGTGCGGATGTCGCTTTGGTGCCATGGCACATACAGTTTGGTTGAGTCACGCAAACCATGGCCACAGGAATTCACCGTCTGTACATTTGAGAAGAGTCTTCATGAGTCTTTTCAGTTCGTGAAAAATTAGTCCACCAGCTTCAGTTAGAACAACTGCTCTTTGCATGACCCCCTCCCTACCCAGCTCGGACAACAGCGAAATATAACCGAAAACGTGAAACATGACAAATCTTAAGGCCAGTGTGGTTTCAGCTAGAGTTGTAGCTAGCACCCTTCTAAGCAGCAGTGTGATGCCAGTTTCAGTAAGAACCCTGGCATCATTTAAACTAAATACATATTTCAGTTATACTATCAGCCAGTGTAGCTTGCCCATATGGCGGCGATTCGGCCACTGTGTCTCCGCCGTAAATTTTCAGTTTGGCCCAACTTCGTTGGCATATCTCCACTGTGGAGGGACAATTGGCCAGTGGAGGCCGGTACAGTGTCTGTCCATATTGTAAATGATAAAGGCGACTGAGCTCTGTAGTGTTCGGATCTGCGCTGCTAGTTTTTGCCTCATGTGCTTCTGAGCTACTGCACATTAATGTACTTGGTCACAGAATCCTGAATTCATTCTTTAATTTGGCAAAAGGTTAGGGGTATAGCAAACCCATGGTCTGTGTTGGGAATTGCAGACATACTTGTAGACATACTAGCAGGCGTACCAGCTAGAATACTAATAAGCAGCAGCAGCAAAGGCACTACCAGACTTACTACACTTCATTTCACCTTACAATAAACCGCAGAGGATGCTACGAGCCATTGCAGCCAATCCATCGTCGAATGAGTGTCACGTGACCTTCCAGAGGGGTATTGTGACATGCGGGGCATGCACTCCCGCAACATGTACACTGCTGGATTGGCTGGGATGGCTTGTACTTGTAGCATCCGCTGTGGTCCATCACAAGGTGAGACGGAGTATAGCAGACATGTACTAATCCTTTAAAATTTCGCTCTTTAGATTATTAAAATTCTTAGCTTTCTGCAGAAGCAGTATGTGTGACCCTCTAAAACGTTTTGTCTTCTGGCTCCTTGTTTGCAGCTTGCTACGGCAAGCACTTTGGCCCCAAGGGCTACGGCTTTGGAGTTGGCTCCGGGACCCTTCAGATGTCGTAGACGAGACAAGATGCCACGTCCCGGCCAGCCTGTTCATCATTCTGTAGATATGTGAAGACAGATTATCCATGCATTCTGATAGACCATCCATGCGTCAGGCCCAGCCTGTCAGCTAATTAGTGTCAGGCCCAGTGTTACACTTTGTGGTTATCCTACCTGTTAGACACGTGTCACGCCCATTGTAACGATTTTCATTGACCCGCTGGAAAAGTCATTTCTCCTTATCTAGGATTTTTTCTGTATCTACTTAATTACGTTGATATTTTTCCATTTACTTTTTAACCATTTATTAGACTAGCTTCGAATTCTCTACAACTTTTGTGTGAGAATTATTTTTCATACTACGGTTTCATTTTTGCTTTTCTCTTCGTTATATTTGCAGTCTTTTCTTTGTAGGGCAAAACTTAACTTAATTAAGAACTTAAGTTTAGTTTTAAACTTTCAAGTTGAAGCTGAAGAAAAATACCCTATTTTCCGGAGTTACCGCGTCGTCTCAAGTCGGAGTTTTCCATTTTGCTATTGTAATTCATTTATGTCTGATATCAATGTGAAATGCTTCAATCTTTCCACTACGGTATTCATTTTTTTCATCATCTTAACATTTTTCTACCTCCTCAGTTAAGCTGTAGTTTTTTCTTGGGATGATACAGTAGAACCTTCAATTAAGATAAGGTTGTGTCAGTAATGCAGCTTCTTATATTTTACTTATTTATTTTAATAGCTGTAGCGTACCATGCCACCATTGGGCAGCTACTCAGAGATAGCTATTTTTTAATTGCGCTATTTTTCTTGTTTTGTGCTACGAGTTTGAACAAAAATTTCATGCTGTTTTAAGTCGATAATTAAGTATGCTAAAAAAAAGGATGGATTTGCGAGCATACTGCCGTAAGAATAGTTAAGACCACATTTGGATATATTTAATAAAAATGTGTAAATGATAGAAATGTACAAATGTTAAATCTTAACAGGCTTTCATGTAGTCTTGAGTGTGCAATCTAGCGGGAGTCTGAATTACACTATCAGAGTGCTTAGTTGCAAGTTGTTGAATTAGTGCTTATAGGTCACCACATTTGCATTAACGGTCATGCCAGCAGTTTTGGGATCCATACACATGACGAGTGTTTTCAGTGTGTCGCATGTAACTCATGTTGTCTGTCACACATTCCTTGCAAGGAAAGACAGGATGGTCCTTGTGCATGCATTTTGACCAAAAGCCAGATTCTTAACGTTTGTTGGTAGCAATTAATTGGTAGACATATTTATGACGTTGTACACTCTGGACTTACGTGTGAAGGTCCTGCTGGGACTAGTAGGTTTATTTGGCTGTTGGCTGCGTTCACAGTTTTCTATGTGCTTAATGGTATATGTATCCAGACAATTACAATTACCTGTCTCTTGCAATAAGTTTGTGAATGATTTAAACCCTTTGGTTTTTCTTCATTGCACTCTAACAATTCCAAAGCAGCTTGTGACCACGTTGAAACTGGCAGGATTCTTGATGTTGCATTGAAGTTAATCAGCTCTCGTGGTTTCACCAAATTATAGTACTTCAGAACTGTAGTTCCGATACAATTGGTGGACATGATTCGGATATGATTTAGTTTACATTTCCATTTGTGACACATCCTTGCATCATGGTGCTACTGTTACCGAATAAGATTGTGCGAGGTTTCGTCCTTACTTTTTTAATGGTTTTGCATGTGTGCATGCATGCTGTGCCCAGAAAGCTAGTGAATGGTTTTCTTTAAATTTGATTAGATATACTTGCGATGAATCTTCTCAGCCAGAGATTGGTCACTTTTACCTATTGAAAGAAATTTGAGGTTAACAAGTTTGCCTCAAGTGGTACAGAAATTGGAGATCATTGGACTTTCTTGCAGGTTGTATTTAATGTTTTGCTCATAGTTTATAGCACACTTACTAGAGCACTGCTATCGCTAGGAATATTGAGCCGACGGCCTTCGCCTAACGATTCTTTGAGGTCATTTGTTGTGCCCCAGAACTAAACAGGGAAATATCTTTTATAGATACAGCTGAATGTCGCCATATGTACCCTAATTGTTTTTATTAAAATTAAAAAAAAAAAAGAGAGGACATATAGTTTACAAAATTAAATCTAAAGCCTGTGGTTGAGTGTCTTACCGTCTGCTCTAAAATCATTGCCTAATTCTGAGCCTCCCTGTCTAGATAATGACACCAGTTTAGAATTGTTTGACTTTGGTGTTGGCTACCTCCTGAAAATGTTCTCACCATGCTTTAAAAGCCCATAGTTAAATACTTCTCTAACAATTCTGGCTTTGCTCAACCTGACCATAAAGTCCGATTCACACATACATTGCAGCACTAAATCAGCACCATAGAACAGCACTGACTTGAATGTAACGTAGCACTGATGCAGCGCTGTGTCGGCACTGAATCACTGATACAGTGCAAGGTCATCATCAAGTTCAACGCAATTTCCAGGACTGACTAACGCCACTGAGGTAGTGCTATGGCGTATGTTTGAACTGGCCTTTAGATATGGTTACCAAATCTAGATATCGCCAGAATTAATGCAGCTACCTTGGCATGATGCGCCCAATCTGTGTCGACCATTCTTGCACCCTGTAATAAATATATTTTACAACTCTGCCGACTGTGGTGGTACTGATACGTCCACTCTTGCGAGGCGGTGCCCGAAATTTTTCAGAAATCTGCGAGGACAAAGAAGAAAAACAGGATTACGTGAATTAAATGTCAAGATCTTTGTTTATGAACAAGCTTCTTTGCCCGCAGGAGTGTACGTATTGCTTCGATAAAGCATGTTTCGTGTGTATGCGGTTTGGGGGCAACCGAATTCCATGGACAAAAGCACATTCCGTCAACACTGGCGCTTTGTGAAAACTTGTTTCGTAGACACACGCTCCTGCAATGTTTTTTCAAGGACGTACCTATTGTTTTACCAAGTGCGGAATAAAATCTGGGAGCTGCTAAAGGCTAGTGCGTGATTCACAGAGGCATGTCTACCCGAGCCTTGGGCCCCCCTTGTTTCTTTCCCCCGTAAGCCAGGCGACACGTTTGTTGCAAAAACAGCAGAATTATGATCAACGAAACGTCCCAAGATGTGCCGATGAAATGAACCGTTGATGAGAATTGTTCGATGAACTGATCGAAACTGGCCGCAGGTGCCACGGACAAAAAGTGTGTTCTAGATCGTCTTTTGAAAGAACTGGGACCCCCTGTTGGCGACTTAGTTGGAGAATTTCTCGCTTTGAAATTTGAAGAGAGAAAGGGCATAGGGGAGAGGCAATTCTTTTTATCAACTTGGAGACAAAACATGAGCCAGAATGGGCACAAAAGCAATGTTCCTGTAGCTCAACCTATGTCGTAGCTCAATGGAGCCTGAGAGCCTGTATTACAGAGAGTTTCGATCATGGTCACGTGGTTTATGGGCCGCTTTTGCAATATGAGCTATGAGGAGGTGGCAAAAGCGTTGATCGTCTGCAAACGTCTCCGCCTTTCCGCCTGCTTTTCTCCTCGTCCCGCGACAACACGGCGATTAATCTCTGTAGACACCAATCTCCATAGGATGCGTCCACCATTAGATTACAAATGCTCCCCACTGTTTAATTCAGTTAGACCAGGGTGTAAGATAGACAGGTGGGGAAACGGCCCATAGAAGCCTACCGGATTGTGTACTCGTCTGCTTGCGGGTAGTAGCCCTGATTTGCGACAGATGGCGCTGTGGCGAGAGGAAAAAAATTGGAATCGGACTTGCATGGAACTTTATGGGAGAGTGCGCAAAATAAACCGAGAGCACGACAGTCCTCTATTGAAAATTCACGAGAAATCATCTCCGTCAGTTTAGCCGGTCGCCACCGGTTGCCCACTCGGAGTGAGAGTTTGCGGTGCTCCACATAGATGGCGCCACAGAACAAGAGAAAACCGAGGGGGACACAATCCGGTCGCTCATTTGGCTCTCGTTTCCCCACCAGTCTATCTTACACCCCGAGTTACACCTCCCTTCAATCGAGGGTCTCTAATGGAGCGGTCAGGATCTAGCGTCGCCACTCGAAGACTTGTTTCCACTCACTCGTCCCACAATTCTTTGTTTAGACCGATGCACTGTTTACCGACGAGTCGGTGTTTGCTCACATCAGGTGTCGGCACTGCGCATAAACAGAATCCAGATTCGCGAGAAGCAAAGCTTCTGCGCATGATGCCGTGATGATACAGCACCATTACAGTGACGTGATATTGCAGCCACGTATACCTTTTCCTCAAGGTACATGGTGCCATCTTGAATTTTGTCACCTCCAGAATAGACGAAAACATTGTTTTGCTGTTGCCACTCCAATAGAAGACATTTACGATATAAGCGTGACCGTCACACACTCTCGTTTTGCCTCCCCTCTATTTTTTTACTATTTACAGGTTGAAATGTTTTATATTTATTTATTTATTTCATAATACTACTACCTGGCCCATAGAGAGCCGTAGTAGGAGAGGCACCAATGCAAAGAAAATTCAATAGATTTGAACATCGATAAAGACAAAAACGGCACTGAGATATTGCATCAAATAATAAACACCCGTCATATGAGGAAATGACAAAATAACAAATCTGACAATGTTCTGTTTCTCTAAGTAAGCAGTGACTCTATCAATAAATTAGTCAAAAGAATCTGAATCTGCCGAATCAGCAAGCAACCTTTTCCATTCAACAATTGATCTGGGGAAAAAAGAGTCTTTGAACATGTCCAGACCGCGGTGGAAGAAACACATTTAGGTGATGACCGGCCGCTCTTCCCGCGGGGAGCGAGCGACCAGATCGTGTTCGGAGCCAGCCTCGAACCAGGACTGGTTAGTTACGCGCTGCCGTGGAGGGCGCTGCAGTATCAGGTCCCTCCTCAAAGGTCACGGTGGCGGCAGCGTAGCGTGCTCACCTTTTTCACGGTCTGGTGGTGTGGTTGGGGTGTGCGGCCAATGGCTGGCCTCGTGTTCTGCTTTGGTGCTGTGTCGATCACGGGTGCCACCATCAAGCACGAAGGTGAGCCTTAACCCGAAGACAAACAAGAAAAAGGAAGAGAACACAGATACACAGATTCTGGCGACTTGGTGGCAACGTGGCGGCGGTGAGGTACAACAAGATACGGTGAGCGAGGGGATGCGGGACTACCACTGGGAGAGACAACTGGAATGGTCGGTTTGGGAGGAACCTCGTACTTGGGTGCCATCTATCCCCGTGCGAGTGAAGCGCGCTCGGTGCACCGAATATAACGTGAACGCTGCATCGGACAGAAAGTCGTAACCTAAACGTGTTTCTTCCACCGTGGGTACAACAAGAAGCAGTGAGTGAGGGAATGAGGGACCACCGCTGGGAGAAACCACCGGAACAATCGGTTTGGGAGCCATCTATCCCTGTGCGAGCGAAGTGCGCGCTAGGTGCGCTGAACTTAATGTGGCCGCCGCGTCGGACAGAGAGAGAGTCATTAACCTAAATGTGTTTCTTCCACCGTGGTCCAGACAAACTTGATACTTTATTATTGAATGTTCATGAGATGATCTGGTGTTTATTCTGCTCGAAAATTGTATGTAGTTTGTTGTGTCAATGTTTAATTTTCATGAATCATTAAAAATAAAATCCTTAGTTTATCTATTTGTGCCTGTTCACTTAATGTAAGGATAGTTGCCTGTTGCAACATTGCTGAGGGTGACCTTAGTAGGTTATATTTGATGGATATGAACCTTATCGCTTTCATTTGTATGCTTTTAAGCTTATTTATATTAGTTTTAGTGAATGGGTCCCACAACCATATTTGAATATTTTAAGGTTGGTCATAATAAATTTTGTAGACAGTAAGCTTTGTGTTAGGTGAAGAGAACCTCGGGAGACATTTCGAGGACCAGAGCCGCCAGGTCGCCTTTGTCGATATGTAATTGATGTGCTTGTTCCATAATATTTTGTTATTAAAATATAACCCCAAACACTTGGACTCTTTGACAGTTTCAACTATTTGACCATCGATGCGATATAAAATCCCATGGGACGCTTTTCCCACGTTATTGACGGTAATACAGTTTTAGTGCTATACAACCCCGTTTGCCATTCCCAACACCAAGCAAGAATCTTTTCGAAGCAATTGTTCTTGACATCTATATTTTTAGTGATATTGTTTTGTAGAGAAGGAAAAGCAAGGGCCCCAGAACAGAGCCCTGGGGCACACTGGAGTGAACATGGACAGGGTCAGATTCATAGCCCTTAAAATACATATACTGTTCTAGGTCTATAAGTTGCCCATACCAGATATGCCTACCAGGTAGCTGGGGATGCAAGCTTTTTCTTTTGCTCTCGTCCCCAGCCACCTAATAGGCTGATCCGGTATGCACGACGAAAATATAGTAAAACATTTCAACCTGTATAGTAAAAAAATAGAGGGGAGACAAAACGAGAATGTGCGATCGAACGTTACACTTAAAACCCTAAATGTCATCTATAGGCATGGCGATGCAAAACAATAGCTTTGTTTGATTTGTACCTTCTGCACTGGTGCAGAAAAGTGTAGGTCAATGTATATTTCCGGTATGTGTATTGAGATATGACCGGAAGTACATTGCCCTACACTTTTCTGCACCGGTGCACGAGATGCAGGTAAATCAAACGAAGCAATAGTCCAATGCAACTCAAGAAGGTATAGGCAACCTGCAATGCTGTTTGGTTCGGCGCTATCTAGTGACTGGAGCTAGAAATATTGGGTATCCCTGGGAGTGGCTGCTGCATTGTTCAAACGTGAGCATTTACTCTCGTGTGTGAAGCAAGAGATACTGGGTACCCTAGGAAGCCGTGATCGCGTAACATGCCAGTACAGCGGAAGCTACGGCCCTGGCAGGCCAATGGGAACGTGACTGCCTATCATCGGAGCGCGCCTCAACTCCGGAGAAGTATCGGGCTTTTCCCTGCGTCATTCTCCAATATGTGCATGTTGCGCTCATATACGTAGTACATATCAAAGCTGTCAGCACGCAAGTAGGGCTTATCGTTCACAGGGGCGGATCCAGACCTCCATTTTAGGGAGGGCAGTTCCTCTGTGTAAAACGGCGGGGCGGGGGGGCGTGAGTGTTTATATTTTTGTGGAGTTATCGTTTTTACTAAACTCTGATAACATAATATAGATCTTGAGACCTTTTGTATCTGTTTACGTGTCGGGGATGAATTCTTTGAAGCAAAAACCTTTCGGGTGTCCACGCTAGAGGTAAGTATCTAGAAAATTGTGGTGGCACTATCGTTTCTGAACACCATAACACAAGGAATTTTGTAGTTCATAGAAAATGGGATTACTCCATTCGCGTGGCAGCGCGCTAGAAATAGAAAAAGAAGTTTAACTACTGGGGATGAATGTTTGGTGCTATAGCGGCTGTGACAATCGTAGACAGTGTAACTTGATGGCTCAGATGTCCCCGGCGGGGCTGCAACTTTTGGGCTCCTTTTGCTTGAATATTTATATATTCTCGTTACACCCGCAGAGCATGTACGGAGAGCCAACCTTTGCCAACTATACGGAAGAAGCTCACGCAGCTAATGACAATGCGAAAAACGTTTTAATCTGAAACTTGGCTGCTCCTTGAGCTTAAAGGGACCATGAAATGACCTTT